ATTTTGTACGTTTGCCCACTGACAAAGAAATGATCAGTCTAGAATTTTAATGGTAGGTTTATTTGAACAGTTAGAGGCAGAATAACAACAAAATCCAGAAAAACGCATGTCAAAAATGTTATAAATTGATTTGCATTTTAATGAGGGAAATAAGTATTTGACCCCTCTGCAAACATGACTTAGTACTTGGTGGCAAAACCCTTGTTGGCAGTCACAGAGGTCAGACGTTTCTTGTAGTTGGCCACCAGGTTTGCACACATCTCAGGAGGGATTTTATCCCACTCCTCTTTGCAGATCTTCTCCAAGTCATTAAGGTTTCGAGGCTGACGTTTGGCAACTCGAACCTTCAGCTCCCTCCACAGATTTTCTATGGGATTAAGGTCTGGAGACTGGCTAGGCCACTCCAGCACCTCAATGTGCTTCTTCTTGAGCCACTCCTTTGTTGCCTTGGCCGTGTGTTTTGGGTCATTGTCATGCTGGAATACCCATCCACGACCCATTTTCAATGCCCTGGCTGAGGGAAGGAGGTTCTCGCCCAAGATTTGACGGTACATGGCCCCGTCCATCGTCCCTTTGATGCGGTGAAGTTGTCCTGTCCCCTTAGCAGAAAAACACCCCCAAAGCATAATGTTTCCACCTCCATGTTTGACGGTGGGGATGGTGTTCTTGGGGTCATAGGCAGCATTCCTCCTCCTCCAAACACGGCGAGTTGAGTTGATGCCAAAGAGCTCCATTTTGGTCTCATCTGACCACAACACTTTCACCCAGTTGTCCTCTGAATCATTCAGATGTTCATTGGCAAACTTCAGACGGGCGTGTATATGTGCTTTCTTGAGCAGGGGGACCTTGTGGGTACTGCAGGATTTCAGTCCTTCACGACGTAGTGTGTTACCAATTGTTTTCTTGGTGACTATGATCCCAGCTGCCTTGAGATCATTGACAAGATCCTCCCGTGTAGTTCTGGGCTGATTCCTCACCGTTCTCATGGTCATTGCAACTCCACGAGGTGAGATCTTGCATGGAGCCCCAGGCTGAGGGAGATTGACAGTTCTTTTGTGTTTCTTCCATTTGCGAATAATCGCACCAACTGTTGTCACCTTCCCACCAAGCTGCTTGGCAATGGTCTTGTAGCCCATTTCCAGCCTTGTGAATGTCTACAATCTTGTCCCTGACATCCTTGGAGAGCTCTTTGGTCTTGGCCATGGTGGAGAGTTTGGAATCTGATTGATTGATTGCTTCTGTGGACAGGTGTCTTTTATACAGGTAACAAGCTGAGATTAGGAGCACTCCCTTTAAGAGTGTGCTCCTAATCTCAGCTCGTTACCTGTATAAAAGATACCCGGGAGCCAGAAATCGTTCTGATTGAGAGGGGGTCAAATACTTATTTCCCTCTTTAAAATGCAAATCAATCAATAACACTTTTGACATGCGTTTTTTTTCTGGATTTTTTGTTGTTGTTGCTATTCCGTCTCTCTCTGTTCAAATGAACCTACCGTTAAAATTACAGACCCATCATTTCATTGTCAGTGGGCAAACGTACAACATCAGCGGCGGATCAAATACTTCTTCTTTGGTTCTTTCGGTAAAGTCACCACCACGTAGAATGAGAATAAAATAATAAATTGATAAAATAAAATAACACAATAAGATTCTCACGACGTTTCGGCCACAACACAAGCGGCCTTCATCAGGTGAAGGGGACGAGACTGTCTGGAGGACAGCGCTGGAGCGAACAAAGCCACACTCAGATCGCGACCTTTAAGCTGTGTGAGAAGAAACAAAGCGCCTTGACAAAGGAATTAGCATAGAATTTAGCATTGAAATGGCTGAGTGATTAGCTTGTGACTGGTCACAGAAATGGCTATGTTAAAGTCACAGCATGGATGTGTATGCTTTGACTTTAACATAGCCATTTCTGTGACCAGTCACAAGCTAATCACTCAGCTATTTCAATGCTAAATTCTATGCTAATTCCTTTGCCAAGGGGTGCCTCTCTGTTGATGTGTATGCTTTGACTTTAACATAGCCATTTCTGTGACCAGTCACAAGCTAATCACTCAGCCATTTGAATGCTAAATTCTATGCTAATTCCTTTGTCAAGGGGTGCCTCTGTTGATGTGTAAGCTTTGACTTTAACGTAGCCTTTTCTGTGACCAGTCACAAGCTAATCACTCAGCTATTTCAATGCTAAATTCTATGCTAATTCCTTTGTCAAGGGGTGCCTCTGTTGATGTGTATGCTTTGACTTTAACATAGCCATTTCTGTGACCAGTCACAAGCTAATCACTCAGCTATTTCAATGCTAAATTCTATGCTAATTCCTTTGTCAAGGGGTGCCTCTGTTGATGTGTATGCTTTGACTTTAACATAGCCATTTCTGTGACCAGTCACAAGCTAATCACTCAGCCATTTCAATGCTAAATTCTATGCTAATTCCTTTGCCAAGGGGTGCCTTTGTGGATGTGTAGGCTTTGACTTTAACATAGCCATTTCTGTGACCAGTCACAAGCTAATCACTTAGCTATTTCAATGCTAAATTCTATGCTAATTCCTTTTCCAAGGGGTGCCTCTGTGGATGTGTATGCTGTGACTTTAACAGAGCCATTTCTGTGACCAGTCACAAGCTAATCACTCAGCCATTTCAATGCTAAATTCTCCTGTTTGATTTGTAATAGGTGCCTCTGTGGATGTGTATGCTTTGACTTTAACATAGCCTTTTCTGTGACCAGTCACAAGCTAACCACTCAGCCATTTCAATGCTAAATTCTATGCTAATTCCTTTGTCAAGGGGTGCCTCTGTTGATGTGTAGGCTTTGACTTTAACATAGCCATTTCTGTGACCAGTCACAAGCTAATCACTCAGCTATTTCAATGCTAAATTCTATGCTAATTCCTTTGTCAAGGGGTGCCTCTGTGGATGTGTATGCTTTGACTTTAACATAGCCATTTCTGTGACCAGTCACAAGCTAATCACTCAGCTATTTCAATGCTAAATTCTATGCTAATTCCTTTGCCAAGGGGTGCCTCTGTGGATGTGTATGCTTTGACTTTAACATAGCCATTTCTGTGACCAGTCACAAGCTAATCACTCAGCCATTTCAATGCCAAATTCTCCTGTTTGATTTGTACTAAGTGCCTCTGTGGATGTGTAGGCTTTGACTTTAACATAGCCATTTCTGTGACCAGTCACAAGCTAATCACTCAGCCATTTCAATGCTACATTCTATGCTAATTCCTTTGTCAAGGCGCTTTGTTTTCCTCTCACACAAGCTTAAAGGTCGCGTTCTGAGCTTGTGGCTTTGTTCGCTCCAGCGCTGCCCTCTGGACAGTCCAGGCCCTTCACCCGATGAAGGCCGCTTGTGTTGTGGCCGAAACGTCGTGAGAATATTAATGTGTTATTTTATTTTATCAATTTATTATTTTATTCGCATTCTACGTGGTGACTTTACCGAAAGAACAAAAGAAGATTAATTCCTTGCAGTCACGACAGCTTTAAATCGAGATCAAATACTTGTTTCCCCTATGAGACCTCCTGTGCCAGTAACAAGATATAGGAATAGGTTTTTACCCCTTTTAACCGGCACAAAAAAACTGACACCTTTATTCAAGGCATCGTGTTTGCAATAACCACAACACAAGCAGTCAAAATGCAAACAAAAAAAAGACAACTCTGATGATAATAATATTGGCACTGTACTTGAATTTGATTGGTCCACACCCGAGACGGCTTTTCTTAGAGCCCTTTAGTCTCCACTGGTGTTGGACCAGAAGACGCCAAAAGGTGTACAACTCAAAAACAGCGCACCATCAGAGTATTGAGGGCTCGGGGTGAGCATTTACATTATGAGACCTCCTTTGCCAGTAACAAGATATAGGAATAGGTTTTTACCCCTTTAAACTGGCACAAAAAAAACTGACACCTTTATTCAAGGCATCGTGTCTGCGATAACTGGAACACAAGCAGTCGAAATGCAAACAAAAAAAGACAACTCTGATGATAATGATAATATTGGCACTGTCCTTGAATTTTGATTGGTCCACACCCGAGACGGCTTTTCTTAGAACCCTTTAGTCTCCATTGGTGTTGGACCAGAAGATGCCAAAAGGCGTACCACTCAAATCAGAGTTGTCTTTTTTGTTTGCATTTTGACTGCTTGTGTTTTGGTTATTGCAGACATGATGCCTTGAATAAAGGCGTCAGTTTTTTGTGCCAGTTAAAAGGGGTAAAAACCTATTCCTATATCTTGTTACTGGCAAAGGAGGTCTCATAATGTAAATGCTCACCCCGAGCCCTCAATAACTCTGATGGTGCGCTGTTTTTGAGTTGTACGCCTTTTGGCGTCTTCCGGTCCAACACCAGTGGAGAGACTAAAGGGGCTCTAAAGAAAGCCGTCTCGGGCGTGGACAAATCAAAATTCAAGGACGGTGCCAATATCATTATCATTATTATCATCAGAGTTGTCTTTTTTTGTTTGCATTTTGACTGCTTGTGTTGTGGTTATCACAAACACGATGCCTTGATTAAAGGTGTCAGTTTTTTTTGTGCCAGTTAAAAGGGTTAAACCTATTCCTATATCTTGTTACTGGCAAAGGAGGTCTCATAATGTAAATGCTCACCCCGAGCCCTCAACACTCTGATAGTGCTCTGCTGTTTTTAAAGTTGTACGCCTTTTGGCGTCTTCCGGTCCAACACCAGTGGAGAGACTAAAGGGGCTCTAAAGAAAAGCCGTCGCGGGCGTGGACCAATCAAAATTCACGGACGGTGCCAATATCATCATCATTATCATCATCAGAGTTGTCTTTTTTTGTTTGTTGGCATTTCGACTGCTTGTGTTCCGGTTATCGCAGACACGAGGTGCCTTGAATGAAGGCGTCAAGTTTTTTTCTCGTGCCGGTTTAACAGTGGGGGGGCGGGGGGGGGGGGGAGGGTAAAAAAAAAACCGACCCCTAATTCCCTACACGTTGCTTCACCTCGCCGCACCCGCGCGCGAGTCTCGTACCCCGAGGCTGTGAGAGAAGGCTTGCGCTGGCTGTGGGCTGGCCGCTCCGACGTAGCTCCCAACGGCCCCCGAGTCCTGGTTGGGCCCGGGGCCTCCCCCTCCGTAGACGTCCGTCATGGGTCCTGGACTGGTGGGGCCCGGGAAGCCCCCGGGCCGGGCAGCCCCGGGCCCCGCGGGTGAGGGGGGCGCGCCGAAGCCGGGCTGCCCGGCGTACGCGTTCAGCACTGGTGGGGGCGAGAGTGGTGGGGGGGGACATCGGGGGAGGGGGGGGGGGAGGAGGGGTGGTGTGATGGGGGTATCAGTGGGGGTGTGATGGGGGTATCAGTGGGGGTGTGATGGGGGCATCAGGGTGGTGTGATGGGGTATCACAGGGGGGTGTGATGGGACATCAGGGAGGTGTGATGGGGACATCAGGGGGGTGTGATGGGGGTATCACAGGGGGTGTGATGGGACATCAGGGTGGTGTGATGGGACATCAGGGTGGTGTGATGGGGACATCAGGGGGGTGTGATGGGACATCAGGGGGGGTGTGATGGGGGTATCAGAGGGGGTGTGATGGGGGTATCAGAGGGTGGTGTGATGGGGACATCAGGGTGGTGTGATGGGGACATCAGGGTGGTGTGATGGGACATCAGGGTGGTGTGATGGGGGTATCAGGATGGTGTGATGGGGGTATCAGGGGGGGTGTGATGGGACATCAGGGGGGGTGTGATGGGACATCAGGGTGGTGTGATGGGGACATCAGGGTGGTGTGATGGGACATCAGGGGGGGTGTGATGGGGACATCAGGGTGGTGTGATGGGGACATCAGGGAGGTGTGATGGGGACATCAGGGTGGTGTGATGGGACATCAGGGGGTGTGATGGGGGTATCAGGGTGGTGTGATGGGGGTATCAGGGTGGTGTGATGGGACATCAGGGTGGTGTGATGGGACATCAGGGTGGTGTGATGGGGGCATCAGGGGTGGTGTGATGGGGACATCAGGGAGGTGTGATGGGACATCAGGGGTGGTGTGATGGGACATCAGGGTGGTGTGATGGGACATCAGGGTGGTGTGATGGGGGTATCACAGGGGGTGTGATGGGACATCAGTGGGGTGTGATGGGGGTATCACAGGGGGAGTGATGGGGGTATCAGGGGTGGTGTGATGGGGGTATCAGGGAGGTGTGATGGGACATCAGGGGGGTGTGATGGGGGTATCAGGGGTGGTGTGATGGGGGTATCAGGGTGGTGTGATGGGACATCAGGGAGGTGTGATGGGACATCAGGGTGGTGTGATGGGACATCAGGGTGGTGTGATGGGACATCAGGGGGGTGTGATGGGACATCAGGGGTGGTGTGATGGGGGTATCAGGGTGGTGTGATGGGACATCAGGGTGGTGTGATGGGACATCAGGGGGGTGTGATGGGACATCAGGGGTGGTGTGATGGGGGCATCAGGGTGGTGTGATGGGGACATCAGGGGTGGTGTGATGGGGGTATCAGAGGGGGTGTGATGGGACATCATTGGGGGGGTAGCAGTGGTGGTGCACACTCACCACCACCACCACCACCACACTCACTCACTCGCCACCACAACAACAACCGCCATTCGCCACTAAGTGGCGGTGACGTCACCACGACGCTTGTGCCAGGCCATGTGCACCTTGAGGCCAAGCGAAGTGTCGAACGCCCGCCGGCAGGAGGTCACGGGGCAGACCCAGCAGGTGCCACGGGTCGACTGACTGAGATGACTGGCTGATGCACCACCTGTGCCCCCTGCTGTGCCAACCCGCTGTGCTTTAGCCACCCGGCACTCCGCTCGTTGTTGTGAGCGTCGCTCCTACGCCCTCCGTTGTTGTTGGAGGGCGACTGCCTCCAACTGCCCAGTAGCGTCCTTCACGAGCCTCCTCCGCAGAGGCCGATCTTGACACCGCTGGTACCATTCATAGGCAAGTCCACTCAGCTCCACGTCCTCCTGTACCACATCACTCCATCTCTTCTCTAGCCCGTGCCGCGCCCGTTTAGCCCCGTCGATCCGGCCGAACAAAAGCTGTTTGGGCATGCGGTGGCTGGGCATGCGGGCTACATGACCCAGCCAACGCAGCCTTGCCTGCCGGAGGAGCTCACCGATGGGACCCTGCCCAGATCTTTCAAGGATTTTTGAGCTCCTCACACAACCCAGCCTGGTTAAACCCAGGATGGATCGTAGGCAGGCCAGCCTAAATGTTTCTAACCGGCGAAGATGCTCCATTAGGGGGGGGTCCACGTTTCGCAAGCGTAGAGAAGGGAGGGAATGAGCGTGGCCGAGAAGACCTGAAGCTTAGTGCGGAGCGACAGACCAGGTAGCTTCCACACAGCGTTACGCAACCGATGAAAAGATATTGCCGCTCGACTGATTCAGAGTGAGACCTCTGCTGTTAAACCGGAGCCGGTCATGAGCACACTGCCCAGGTATGGGAAACTCTCCACTCTCTCCACAACTGCCCCATCACCGATTGGGAGTTGTGGGGGTGGAGTGTCCGATGGTACAAAATACCCAGGCAGGTGCTTAGTTTTGGTGGGGCTGATGGTAAGGCCCCACCTCTTAGTGGCACGCTCCAATCTCAGCAGCAGCGTCTCCAACTCCTCCTCTGAATGAGCAGCTATTACCAGATCGGCATACATAACGTGGTTGAGCAAAAGGGAGCCATCACTTGACCGCACCCGGGCATCGATCAGCCTCCTCGAACTACGTGGTCAAAATAGATGTTAAATAATGTGGGAGCCAGAGGAAATCCCTGTCGCACCCCAAGGTGTACAGGGAATGGCTCCGACTCTTGACCACGTAGTTTTACCCGGGCCCGCTCACCATTATGAAGGTCCTTAATGATTGTGAGCAGAGGGTCAGGGACTCCAAAAGCACAAAGAACAACCCATATCCCAGGCCTACTGATGGTATAATTTTCCCACGACATCAGGAAGAGTGGGGGACGATGCCAACCCCAGCCGCAAGCGATGATGAAATTCTCGCTTGCAACTTTCATCAGCTAGCTCCCATGCCACTAAGGGTTTGAATGGGGTCCTGGGTGTACACCCACCACTGGAGTGGAAGAATGGCAGGCGCATCTTACAGATGACAAGTCGATGGTCAGTGGGCAGATCAGCTCCACAGTAGGTCCTGGTGTCAAGGACATGGGCCTGCATCCGCTGTTCCGTCACTATGTAGTCCAGCAGATGTACTTGCTTGGACCAGGCATGCATCCGTGATGTGGTGTAGATGTGCCGATGCCGGAACAGCGTGTTGGTAATAACAAGCCCATGGGCTGCACAAAAATCTAGCAGCCTCCTGCCGTTGTTATTGATCTGATCTGGCCCATGCCTTCCGATCACTCCAGACCAGGTGCCAGCATCATGACCAACTTGGGCATTGAAGTCACCCACAAGATAAGTCTATCCCAAGGGGCCACTTTAGCTAGCACCTGTGACAGGAGGTCATAGAAGGCATCTGACTCATCGGCCTTGCCTGCATCCCTCCACGGATGTTCGTCTTCGGTGGGGGCATAAGCAACCACGACCACAATTCCTCGCCTCCGGTTGATGGGAAGGCGAGCCCAAAGTAGCCTGGGGCTTACAGCTTCCCACACCTCACCGCCACGCTCCCACGCCCCCTTCATTAGAGCCACACCCTGTTGTTTGACAGTCACCTGCCCCAATTAGAGGACAGTCCACCCCTCATGGTGGCAGGAGCCAGAGCCGGTCCACCGGACCTCCTGAATGCCACAGAGATCCAGGCGGTACCGGTCCAGCTCCCGACAGAGGAGTGGGCAGCCTCTCCTCCGCGGTGAGCGTTCGAACATTCCACGTGGCCACATGAAGTGGCTTTCCGTTGTTTCTGGAGGAGCCCCGAGGGTAAAGATTCAATCTCCTGGCTCCGCCAGATGGGGTTTGGCCAGGAGACGTCATAGACGCCTGTCCCCCCGGGGCCTCCGGCACAAGCTTCTTCAGTAGATATTTTCGACGTGGTTTCGCAGTCATTAATTGAGGCTGGAGGGGTTACCAGCCCCTCGCACCCGTCCAGAGCCCCCATTTAGCCGCAATGGTGGTTACAAACTCCATGAGGGGAAAGGCCAATCGGAATTGGCCCCTCCCCCTATGGCACTGCCCACGACAGCGTTGCTCGTCCGGCACCACAAGGAGGTAGGGGGTTGTTTTGCAAGACCTCACTCACTCACTCACCACCACCACCGCACTCACCACCACACATACCACACCACCACCACACACACCACACCACACCACCACCACACTCACTCACTCACTCACCACCACCACCGCACTCACCACCACACATACCACACCACCACCACCACACTCACACACACACTCACCGCCACACTCATCACACCACCGCGACACACACTCACACCACACTCACACACACTCACCACCACACTCACACCACCGCCACACTCACACTCACCGCCACACTCACACCACACTCACCGCCACACTCACACCACACACACTCACACCACACTCACCGCCACACTCACACACACACACTCACCGCCACACACACACACACACACTCACCGCCACACACACACACACACTCACCGCCACACACACACACACTCACCACCACACTCACACACACACACACTCACCGCCACACACACACACACACTCACCGCCACACACACCACACTCACCGCCACACTCACCACACCACACACACTCACCGCCACACACACACCACACTCACCGCCACACACACACTCACTCACCGCCACACACACACTCACCGCCACACACACACACCACACTCACCGCCACACTCACACACACACACCACACTCACCGCCACACTCACACTCACACACCACACTCACCGCCACACTCACCACACCACACCACACTCACCGCCACACACTCACCGGCGTTGGTGAGCGCGTCGTGACTGTTGGGCGGAGCCTGATGCATGGGCGACCCAGCGGGTCCCGTGTGGTGGTGCTGCTGCTGCTGCTGCTGTTGGTGGTGGTGGTGGTGGTGCTGCTGGTGGTGGTGGTGGTGCGGAGGAGGTACCACCGCGGTGAGCTCGCCGCGGTGCAGCGCCGGGCGTCCGCCCCCCATGGCCGGACCGCCGCCACCTCCCCCACCGTACTCCGCGTAGGAGAAAGTCGCCGTGGCCGTGGCCGCCGCGGCCGCCGCCGCGGCCGCGGCAGCGGCCGCGGCGGCACCGGCGCGGTGGTCACCGGGAGACGCGTAGAAGCCGTAGTCTGGGAAGGCTGGGGACACGCACACGGAGACACGCGCACGGAGACACGCACACGGAGACACGCACACGGAGACACGCACACAGACACACACACGGAGACACGCACACGGAGACACGCACACAGACACGCACACAGACACACACAGACACACAGAGACACACAGAGACACACACAGACACAGACACACAGACACACACGCAGACACACAGAGACACAGACACACAGGGTGAGTGTAGAAGCCGTAGTCTGGGAAGGCTGGGGACACGCACGGAGACACGCACACGGAGACACGCACACGGAGACACGCACACGGAGACACGCACACGGAGACACGCACAGAGACACGCACAGAGACACGCACAGAGACACGCACACAGACACGCACAGACACACGCAGACACGCAGAGACACACGCAGAGACACACACACAGACACACACGCAGACACACAGACACACACGCAGACACACACGCAGACACACAGAGACACAGACACACAGGGTGAGTGTAGAAGCCGTAGTCTGGGAAGGCTGGGGACACGCGCACGGAGACACGCACACAGACACACAGAGAGACACGCACAGACACTCACGGACACGCAGACACGCAGAGACACACGCAGAGACACACACACAGACACACACAGAGACACGCACACAGACACACACACAGACACACACGCAGACACACACACACAGACACGCACACAGACACACACACAGACACGCACACAGACACGCACACAGACACACACACAGACACACACAGACACACACGCAGACACACGGAGACACGCACACGGAGACACGCACACAGACACGCACACAGACACGCACAGAGACACGCACAGAGACACGCACACAGACACGCACAGACACACACACAGACACACACACAGACACACACACAGACACACACACAGACACACACACAGACACACACAGAGACACACACACAGACACACACAGACACACACAGACACAGGGTGAGTGTAGAAGCCGTAGTCTGGGAAGGCTGGTCACACACACACATACACACATAGACACACACAACAACCACCATTCGCCACTAAGTGGCGGTAACGTCACCACGACGCTTGTGCCAGGCCATGTGCACCTTGAGGCCACGTGAAGTGTTGAACGCCCGCTGGCAGGAGGTCACGGGGCAGACCCAGGTGCCACGGGTCGACTGACTGAGATGACTGGCTGATGCACCACCTGTGCCCCCTACTGTGCCAACCTGCTGTGCTTTAGCCACCCGGCGCTCCGCTCGTTGTTGTGAGCGTCGCTCCTCCGCCCTACGTTGTTGCTGGAGGGCGACTGCCTCCAACTGCCCAGTAGCGTCCTTCACGAGCCTCCTCCACAGAGGCCGATCTTGACACCGCTGGTACCATTCATAGGCAAGTCCACTCAGCTCCACGTCCTCCTGTACCACATCACTCCATCTCTTCTCTAGCCTGTGCCGCGCCCGTTTAGCCCCCTCGATCCGGCCGAACAAAAGCTGTTTCGGCATGCGGTGGCTGGGCATGCGGGCTACATGACCAAGCCAACGCAGCCTTGCCTGCCGGAGGAGCTCACCGATGGGACCTTGCCCAGATCTTTCAAGGATTTGTCAGCTCCTCACACAATCCAGCCTGATTAAACCCAGGATGGATCGTAGGGAGGCTAGCCTAAATGTTTTTAACAGGCGAAGATGTTCCATTAGGGGGGTCCACGTTTCGCAAGCGTAGAGAACGGAGGGAATGACCGTGGCCGAGAAGACCTGAAGCTTAGTGTGGAGCGACAGACCAGGTAGCTTCCGGAAACTCAGCGTTACGCAACCGATGAAAATATATTGCCGCTCGACTGATTCGGAGTGAGACCTCTGCTGTTAAACTGGAACCGGTCATAAGCACACTGCCCAGGTATGGGAAACTCTTCACTCTCTCCACAACTGTCCCATCACCGATTGGGAGTTGTGGGGGTGGAGTGTCCGATGGTACAAAATACCCAGGCAGATGCTTAGTTTTGCTGGGGCTGATGGTAAGGCCCCATCTCTGAGTGGCACGCTCCAGTCTCAGCAGCAGCGTCTCCAACTCCTCCTCTGAATGAGCAGTTATTACCAAATTATCGGCATACATAACGTGGTTGAGCAATAGGGAGCCATCCCTTGACCGCACCCGGGCATCGATCAGCCTCCCATTATATCTGTGCCATATGGAGATTCCCCCGGTACAGCTATTGAAGGCTTCACAAACTACGTGGTCAAAATAGATGTTAAATAATGTCGGAGCCAGAGGACATCCCTGTAGCACCCCAAGGTATACAGGGAATGGCTCTGACTCCTGGCCACGTAGTTTTACCCGGGCCCGCTCACCATCATGAAGGTCCTTAATGATCGTGAGCAGAGGGTCAGGTACTCCAAAAGCACGAAGAACAACCCAGAGCCCAGGCCTACTGATGGTATCATAGGCCTTGACCAGGTCAATAAAGCAGAGATGTAGGTCTTGCTGGAATTCCCTACACCTCTGCTGTAGCAGACGGACAGAAAATATGGCATCTGTGCAGGACCGCCCTTTCCTGAAACTGCACTGGGACTCTGCAAGCCTCTCCTCAAAGTGCCTGGCAAAGTGATGTTGAATAATCCTTGCCAGGACCTTTCCCGGCACACTGAGTGAGATGCCCCTGTAGTTGTTACAGTCTGTGCGGTCCCCCTTCTTAAATAGGGGGACCACCAGGGCATCCTTCCAATCCTGCGGAACCCGTCCAGTGGTCCAGACTGTTGTTATCATGTCATATAGGGCAGTCTGTGCACAAACGCCACCCTCCCTCAGCATTTCGCTTGGGAGATCATCTCTGCCCACTGCCTTTCCTGGTCTCAGACTCCGGATCGCCTTCAGTACTTCCTCAACAGATGGCACCTCAGCCAGCCACTCACAGGGGGTGACTTCTTTCAATATTTGAGGCACCGCAGCCTCAGCAGGGTGATCCCTACTTTGTGCCACGATGTTTTCCTGGCTGAGGGATTTTCCCTCCCCCAGGACCTCACAGAAATGCTCAGCAAATCTGCAAACCTGTTCCTGGGGGTCGGAGAGTGGATCACCGGTTTTTCCCCTAATGATGGTAATAGGTGTTGCGCTGCAGGTTACTTTTTGATGGAGTTAAATAGAGATTTGTGATCGCGGGCCATTGAGGCAGACTCCATCTCCTCAGCAACCCGCGACCACCAACCATCCTTGCAGCGCCTCACAGCTCTCCGAACCTCCGAGCGAAGGCTGCGGTAAGCCTCCTCATTCTCTGACGTGGGAATCTGTAGCCGACGACAGTGGGCCTGTCGCTTTTTCTCAACTATCCTGAACACCTCCTCTGTCAGCCAGGGTCTCTGGGGAGGTCTGGACAGCGTACCCAAAGCAGCCAATGCAGCTGCATGAGTCACAGTCCTGAACCTGGCCCATTTACCCTCGACATCAGGAGGAGTGGAGGACGATGCCAACCCCAGCCACAAGCGATGATGAAATTCTCGCTTGCTACTTTCATCAGATAACTGAGACCAGGCCACTTTAGGTTTGAATGGGGTCCTGGGTGTACACCCACCACCGGAGTGGAAGAATGGCAGGCGCATCTTACAGATGACTAGTCGATGGTCTGAGGGCAGATCAGCTCCACAGTAGATCCTGGTGTCAAGGACATGGGCTCGCATCCGCTGGTCCATCACTATGTAGTCCAGCAGATGTTCTTGCTTGGACCCGGCATGCATTCATGATGTTGTGTGGATGCGCCGATGCCGGAACAGCGTGTTGGTAATTACAAGCTCATGGGCTGCACAAAAATCTAGCAGCCTTCTACCGTTGTTATTGAGCTGATCTGGCCCATGCCCTCCAATCACTCCAGACCAGGTGCCAGCATTGTGACCAACTCGGGTATTGAAGTCACCCAACAAGATGACTATCCCGAGGGGTCACTTTAGCCAGCACCTGTGACAGGAGGTCATAGAAGGCATCTGACTCATCGGCTTTGCCTGCATCCCTCCACGGATGTTCGTCTTCGGTGGGGGCATAAGTAACCACGACCACCACTCCTCGCCTCCGGTTGATGGGAAGGCGAGCTCAAAGTAGCCTGGGGCTTACAGCTTCCCACACCTCACCACCATGCTCCCACGCCCCCTTCATTCTTTTGTTCAAAAGAAGAGCCACACCCTGTTGTTTGGCAGTCTGCTGCCCCGAGTAGAGGACTGTCCACCCCTCATGGTGGCAGGAGGTACCGGTTCAGCTCCCGACAGAGGAGTGGCAGCCTCTCCTCTGCAGTGAGCGTTCGAACATTCCACGTGGCCACATGAAGTGGCTTTTCGTTGTTTCTGGAGGAGCCCCCGAGAGTAGAGATTCAATCTCCTGGCTCCGCCAATTGGGGTTTGGCCAGGAGACGTCATAGACGCCTGTCCCCCCGGGGCCTCCGGCACAAGCTTATTAGTTCGATGTTTCAGACGTGGTTTAGTGGTAAATTTTTGAAGGTGGAGGGGTTACCAGCCCCTCGCACAGACACACACACACACACAAAGACACACACACAGATACACACAAAGACACACACACAGGGTGAGTGTAGAAGCCGTAGTCTGGGAAGGCTGGGGACACACACACACACACAGACACACACACAGACACACACACACACAGAAACACACAGACACACACACAGACACACACACACAGAAACACACAGACACACACACACGGTTGAGTGGAGAAACCCATCTGTAAAGGATGTGATTCCTGACATGCAATACCCAGGTGTCCACAAACTGAATTGTGGTTGTGGCAGCAGTTACAACATTGGGGAAACGAAATGACACGTCTAAGACCGCGTCAGTGAACACAAGGCGGATCTAAAACACGGTAGGTCCAACACTTCTGCCGTTGCCGATGGTTATTTTAACGACGTGGGCTCACGCGGGATTGACTTTTCCAAGACGGAGGAACTCTGCAAACCCACCCGGCTATTATTTGTCCACGACGCCATCCAGATAAATAAAACACGACCAAAGAAGATGGGGACAGACCGAGCAATCACTGGAAGGACGTTGGTAACCAGGTAAAGTCTTAACCCGCTGTGATGTTTCTATCCCACCTGCGCCTACGTCAGCTGTTACCTACGACTCTCTGTGTCTCGTTCTGTCTCTCTCTCTCTCTGTGTGTGTGCATCTCTCTCCGATCTCTACTCCTGTGACCCGGGTGCTACCGTGAGGTCCACTTTCGGCCCCGCCTCCTCTCCTCTCCTCTCCCCCCCCGCCCACTGCAGAGGCCTCTAGAACCTCGTGCCACGGCAGGTCTCTCGTCTACTTCAGCAGTTTGTTTCTGACGACGGTCGCTTGCGTTTTGCCATCGATTATCTTTCGAAAATACGCGACTTTACCGATAGAATCAAAGAGTCCAGTGTAGAAACTACAGTCTGGGAAGGCTGGAGACACACAGACACACACACACACAGACACACACACAGACAGACAGACACACACACACACACACACAGGAACACACGCACAGACACACACAGACACACAGGTACACACGCACAGACACACACACACAGACAGACACACACAGCCACACACACAGACACACACAGACACACACACCGACACACACAGACAGACACAGACAGACACACACAGACACGGTGAGTGTATAAACCGTAGTCTGGGAAAGCTGGGGACACACAAACACACACAGACACACACAGACAGACACACACACAGACAGACACACACAGACACACACACAGACAGACACACACAGACAGACACACACACAGACAGACACACACACAGACAGACACACACAGACACACACACAGACACGCAGACACACACACACACAGACACACACAGACAGGGTGAGTGTATAAACCATAGTCTGGGAAGGCTGGGGACACACACAGACAGACACACACAGACAGACACACACACAGACACACACACAGACAGACACACACACAGACAGACACACACAGACACACACACAGACACACACACAGACAGACACACACAGACACACAGGGTGAGTGTAGACACACAGACAGACTCACACAGACACACACACAGACAGACACACACACAGACATGCAGACACACACAGACACACACAGACACACACACACACAGACACACAGACACACAGACAGGGTGAGTGTATAAACCATAGTCTGGGAAGGCTGGGGACACACACAGACAGACACACACACAGACAGACACACACACAGACAGACAGACAGACACACACACAGACAGACACACACAGACACACACACAGACAGACACACACAGTGAGTGTAGACACACAGACAGACACACACAGACACACACACAGACAGACACACACAGACAGACACACACAGACAGACAGACACACACAGACACACACACAGACACACACACAGACAGACACACACAAAGACAGATAGACACACAAAGACAGACACACAGACAGGGTGAGTGTAGACACACAGACAGAGACACACACAGACAGACAGACACACACAGACAGACACACACACAGAGACAGACAGACACACACAGACAGACAGACAGGGTGAGTGTAGACACACAGACAGAGACACACGCAGACACACACAGACAAACAGGGTGAGTGTAGACACACAGACAGAGACACACACAGACACACAGACAGAGACAGACCATCAGGGTGAGTAGTGGTGAGCGTCAGGGTGAGTAGTGGTGAGTGTCAGGGTGAGCGTCAGGGTGAGGAGTGGTGAGTGTCAGGGTGAAGAGTGGTGAGCGTCAGGGTGAGGAGTGGTGAGCGTCAGGGTGAGTAGTGGTGAGCGTCAGGGTGAGTAGTGGTGAGTGTCAGGGTGAGTCTAGTGGTGAGCGTCAGGGTGAGTAGTGGTGAGTGTCAGGGTGAGTAGCGGTGAGCGTCAGGGTGAGTAGTGGTGAGCGTCAGGGTGAGTCTAGTGGTGAGTGTCAGGGTGAGTAGCGGTGAGCGTCAGGGTGAGGAGCGGTGAGCGTCAGGGTGAGTCTAGTGGTGAGTGTCAGGGTGAGTAGTGGTGAGTGTCAGGTTGAGTAGTGGTGAGTGTCAGGGTGAGTAGTGGTGAGTGTCAGAGTGAGGAGTGGTGAGTGTCAGGGTGAGGAGTGGTGAGCGTCAGGGTGAGTAGTGGTGAGTGTCAGGGTGAGGAGTGGTGAGCGTCAGGGTGAGGAGTGGTGAGCGTCAGGATGAGGAGTGGTGGTGAGCGTCAGGGTGAGGAGTGGTGAGCGTCAGGGTGAGGAGTGGTGAGCGTCAGGGTGAGGAGTGGTGAGTGTCAGGGTGAGTGTCAGGGTGAGTAGTGGTGAGCGTCAGGGTGAGTAGTGGTGAGTGTCAGGGTGAGGAGTGGTGAGCGTCAGGGTGAGGAGTGGTGAGCGACAGGGTGAGGAGTGGTGAGCGTCAGGGTGAGTGGTGGTGAGCGACAGGGTGAGTAGTGGTGAGTCTAGTGGTGAGCGTCAGGGTGAGTAGCGGTGAGCGTCAGGGTGAGGAGTGGTGAGTGTCAGGGTGAGTAGTGGTGAGCGTCAGGGTGAGGAGTGGTGAGCGACAGGGTGAGTCTAGTGGTGAGCGTCAGGGTGAGTAGTGGTGAGCGACAGGGTGAGGAGTGGTGAGCGACAGGGTGAGGAGTGGTGAGCGACAGGGTGAGTAGTGGTGAGCGTCAGGGTGAGTGTCAGGGTGAGTAGTGGTGAGTGTCAGGGTGAGTAGTGGTGAGCGTCAGGGTGAGGAGTGGTGAGTGTCAGGGTGAGTAGTGGTGAGCGTCAGGGTGAGGAGTGGTGAGCGTCAGGGTGAGGAGTGGTGAGCGTCAGGGTGAGTCTAGTGGTGAGCGTCAGGGTGAGTAGTGGTGAGCGACAGGGTGAGGAGTGGTGAGCGACAGGGTGAGGAGTGGTGAGCGACAGGGTGAGTAGTGGTGAGCGTCAGGGTGAGTGTCAGGGTGAGTAGTGGTGAGTGTCAGGGTGAGTAGTGGTGAGCGTCAGGGTGAGGAGTGGTGAGTGTCAGGGTGAGTAGTGGTGAGCGTCAGGGTGAGGAGTGGTGAGCGTCAGGGTGAGGAGTGGTGAGCGTCAGGGTGAGTCTAGTGGTGAGTGTCAGGGTGAGGAGTGGTGAGCGTCAGGGTGAGGAGTGGTGAGCGTCAGGGTGAGTCTAGTGGTGAGCGTCAGGGTGAGGAGTGGTGAGCGTCAGGGTGAGGAGTGGTGAGCGTCAGGGTGAGTCTAGTGGTGAGCGTCAGGGTGAGTCTAGTGGTGAGCGTCAGGGTGAGTAGCGGTGAGCGTCAGGGTGAGTCTAGTGGTGAGCGTTAGGGTGAGGAGTGGTGGTGAGTGTCAGGGTGAGTAGTGGTGAGCGTCAGGGTGAGGAGTGGTGAGCATCAGGGTGAGGAGTGGTGAGCGTCAGGGTGAGGAGTGGTGAGCGTCAGGGTGAGGAGTGGTGAGCGTCAGGGTGAGTAGTGGTGAGCGTCAGGGTGAGTAGTGGTGAGTGTCAGGGTGAGTCTAGTGGTGAGCGTCAGGGTGAGGAGTGGTGAGCGTCAGGGTGAGGAGTGGTGAGCGTCAGGGTGAGGAGTGGTGGTGAGCGTCAGGGTGAGGAGTAGTGGTGAGCGTCAGGGTGAGTAGCGGTGAGCGTCAGGGTGAGGAGTGGTGAGCGTCAGGGTGAGTAGCGGTGAGCGTCAGGGTGAGTCTAGTGGTGAGCGTCAGGGTGAGTAGTGGTGAGCGTCAGGGTGAGTCTAGTGGTGAGTGTCAGGGTGAGGAGTGGTGAGCGTCAGGGTGAGTAGCGGTGAGCGTCAGGGTGAGTAGCGGTGAGCGTCAGGGTGAGTCTAGTGGTGAGCGTCAGGGTGAGTAGTAGTGGTGAGCGTCAGGGTGAGGAGTGGTGAGCGTCAGGGTGAGTCTAGTGGTGAGCGTCAGGGTGAGTAGCGGTGAGCATCAGGGTGAGGAGTGGTGGTGAGCGTCAGGGTGAGTCTAGTGGTGAGTGTCAGGGTGAGGAGTGGTGAGCGTCAGGGTGAGTCTAGTGGTGAGCGTCAGGGTGAGGAGTGGTGGTGAGCGTCAGGGTGAGTCTAGTGGTGAGCGTCAGGGTGATGAGTGGTGAGCGTCAGGGTGAGGAGTAGTGGTGAGCGTCAGGGTGAGTCTAGTGGTGAGCGTCAGGGTGAGGAGTGGTGAGCGTCAGGGTGAGGAGTGGTGAGCGTCAGGGTGAGGAGTGGTGAGCGTCAGGGTGAGAAGTGGTGGTGAGTGTCAGGGTGAGTAGTGGTGAGCGTCAGGGTGAGGAGTGGTGAGCGTCAGGGTGAGGAGTGGTGAGCGTCAGGGTGAGTCTAGTGGTGAGCGTCAGGGTGAGTAGTGGTGAGCGTCAGGGTGAGGAGTGGTGAGCGTCAGGGTGAGAAGTGGTGGTGAGTGTCAGGGTGAGGAGTGGTGAGCGTCAGGGTGAGGAGTGGTGAGCGTCAGGGTGAGGAGTGGTGAGCGTCAGGGTGAGGAGTGGTGAGCGTCAGGGTGAGGAGTGGTGAGCGTCAGGGTGAGTCTAGTGGTGAGCGTCAGGGTGAGTAGTGGTGAGCGTCAGGGTGAGGAGCAGTGAGCGTCAGGGTGAGGAGTGGTGAGCGTCAGGGTGAGGAGTGGTGAGCGTCAGGGTGAGAAGTGGTGGTGAGTGTCAGGGTGAGCGTCAGGGTGAGTGTCAGGGTGAGTCTAGTGGTGAGTGTCAGGGTGAGTCTAGTGGTGAGCGTCAGGGTGAGTATAGTGGTGAGCGTCAGGGTGAGGAGTGGTGAGCGTCAGGGTGAGGAGTGGTGAGCGTCAGGGTGAGTCTAGTGGTGAGCGTCAGGGTGAGTCTAGTGGTGAGCGTCAGGGTGAGGAGCGGTGAGCGTCAGGGTGAGTCTAGTGGTGAGCGTTAGGGTGAGGAGTGGTGGTGAGTGTCAGGGTGAGTAGTGGTGAGCGTCAGGGTGAGGAGTGGTGAGCGTCAGGGTGAGTAGTGGTGAGCGTCAGGGTGAGTCTAGTGGTGAGCGTCAGGGTGAGCGTCAGGGTGAGTCTAGTGGTGAGCGTCAGGGTGAGTCTAGTGGTGAGTGTCAGGGTGAGGAGTGGTGAGCGTCAGGGTGAGGAGTGGTGAGCGTCAGGGTGAGTAGCGGTGAGCGTCAGGGTGAGTAGCGGTGAGGAGTGGTGAGCGTCAGGGTGAGGAGTGGTGAGCGTCAGGGTGAGTAGCGGTGAGCGTCAGGGTGAGTAGCGGTGAGCGTCAGGGTGAGGAGTGGTGAGCGTCAGGGTGAGTCTAGTGGTGAGTGTCAGGGTGAGGAGTGGTGAGCGTCAGGATGAGCGTCAGGGTGAGGAGTGGTGAGCGTCAGGGTGAGTCTAGTGGTGAGCGTTAGGGTGAGGAGTGGTGGTGAGTGTCAGGGTGAGTAGTGGTGAGCGTCAGGGTGAGGAGTGGTGAGCATCAGGGTGAGGTGTGGTGAGCGTCAGGGTGTGGAGTGGTGAGCGTCAGGGTGAGGAGTGGTGAGCGTCAGGGTGAGTAGTGGTGAGCGTCAGGGTGAGTAGTGGTGAGTGTCAGGGTGAGTCTAGTGGTGAGCGTCAGGGTGAGGAGTGGTGAGCGTCAGGGTGAGGAGTGGTGAGCGTCAGGGTGAGGAGGGGTGGTGCGCGTCAGGGTGAGGAGTAGTGGTGAGCGTCAGGGTGAGTAGCGGTGAGCGTCAGGGTGAGGAGTGGTGAGCGTCAGGGTGAGTAGCGGTGAGCGTCAGGGTAAGTCTAGTGGTGAGCGTCAGGGTGAGTAGTGGTGAGCGTCAGGGTGAGTCTAGTGGTGAGTGTCAGGGTGAGGAGTGGTGAGCGTCAGGGTGAGTAGCGGTGAGCGTCAGGGTGAGTAGCGGTGAGCGTCAGGGTGAGTCTAGTGGTGAGCGTCAGGGTGAGTAGTAGTGGTGAGCGTCAGGGTGAGGAGTGGTGAGCGTCAGGGTGAGTCTAGTGGTGAGCGTCAGGGTGAGTAGCGGTGAGCATCAGGGTGAGGAGTGGTGGTGAGCGTCAGGGTGAGTCTAGTGGTGAGTGTCAGGGTGAGGAGTGGTGAGCGTCAGGGTGAGTCTAGTGGTGAGCGTCAGGGTGAGGAGTGGTGGTGAGCGTCAGGGTGAGTCTAGTGGTGAGCGTCAGGGTGAGGAGTGGTGAGCGTCAGGGTGAGGAGTGGTGAGCGTCAGGGTGAGGAGTGGTGAGCGTCAGGGTGAGAAGTGGTGGTGAGTGTCAGGGTGAGTAGTGGTGAGCGTCAGGGTGAGGAGTGGTGAGCGTCAGGGTGAGGAGTGGTGAGCGTCAGGGTGAGTCTAGTGGTGAGCGTCAGGGTGAGTAGTGGTGAGCGTCTGGGTGAGGAGTGGTGAGCGTCAGGGTGAGTAGTGGTGGTGAGTGTCAGGGTGAGGAGTGGTGAGCGTCAGGGTGAGGAGTGGTGAGCGTCAGGGTGAGGAGTGGTGAGCGTCAGGGTGAGGAGTGGTGAGCGTCAGGGTGAGGAGTGGTGAGCGTCAGGGTGAGTCTAGTGGTGAGCGTCAGGGTGAGTAGTGGTGAGCGTCAGGGTGAGGAGCAGTGAGCGTCAGGGTGAGGAGTGGTGAGCGTCAGGGTGAGGAGTGGTGAGCGTCAGGGTGAGAAGTGGTGGTGAGTGTCAGGGTGAGCGTCAGGGTGAGTGTCAGGGTGAGTCTAGTGGTGAGTGTCAGGGTGAGTCTAGTGGTGAGCGTCAGGGTGAGTATAGTGGTGAGCGTCAGGGTGAGGAGTGGTGAGCGTCAGGGTGAGGAGTGGTGAGCGTCAGGGTGAGTCTAGTGGTGAGCGTCAGGGTGAGTCTAGTGGTGAGCGTCAGGGTGAGTAGCGGTGAGCGTCAGGGTGAGTCTAGTGGTGAGCGTTAGGGTGAGGAGTGGTGGTGAGTGTCAGGGTGAGTAGTGGTGAGTGTCAGGGTGAGGAGTGGTGAGCGTCAGGGTGAGTAGTGGTGAGCGTCAGGGTGAGTCTAGTGGTGAGCGTCAGGGTGAGCGTCAGGGTGAGTCTAGTGGTGAGCGTCAGGGTGAGTCTAGTGGTGAGTGTCAGGGTGAGGAGTGGTGAGCGTCAGGGTGAGGAGTGGTGAGCGTCAGGGTGAGTAGCGGTGAGCGTCAGGGTGAGTAGCGGTGAGGAGTGGTGAGTGTCAGGGTGAGGAGTGGTGAGCGTCAGGGTGAGTAGCGGTGAGCGTCAGGGTGAGTAGCGGTGAGCGTCAGGGTGAGGAGTGGTGAGCGTCAGGGTGAGTCTAGTGGTGAGTGTCAGGGTGAGGAGTGGTGAGCGTCAGGATGAGCGTCAGGGTGAGGAGTGGTGAGCGTCAGGGTGAGTCTAGTGGTGAGTGTCAGGGTGAGGAGTGGTGAGCGTCAGGGTGAGCGACAGGGTGAGTAGTGGTGAGTGTCAGGGTGAGTGGTGGTGAGCGTCAGGGTGAGTGGTGGTGAGCGTCAGGGTGAGTAGTGGTGAGCGTCAGGGTGAGTAGTGGTGAGCGTCAGGGTGAGGAGTGGTGAGTGTCAGGGTGAGGAGTGGTGAGCGTCAGGGTGAGTAGTGGTGAGCGTCAGGGTGAGTGGTGGTGAGCGACAGGGTGAGTAGTGGTGAGCGTCAGGGTGAGTCTAGTGGTGAGCGTCAGGGTGAGTAGTGGTGAGTCTAGTGGTGAGCGACAGGGTGAGTGTCAGGGTGAGTGTCAGGGTGAGTGTCAGGGTGAGTGTCAGGGTGAGTAGTGGTGAGCGTCAGGGTGAGTCTAGTGGTGAGTGTCAGGGTGAGTGTCAGGGTGAGTCTAGTGGTGAGTGTCAGGGTGAGTAGTGGTGAGCGTCAGGGTGAGTGTCAGGGTGAGTAGTGGTGAGCATCAGGGTGAGTGTCAGGGTGAGGAGTGGTGAGTGTCAGGGTGAGTGTCAGGGTGAGCGACAGGGTGAGGAGTGGTGAGTGTCAGGGTGAGTGGTGGTGAGCGACAGGGTGAGGAGTGGTGAGCGTCAGGGTGAGGAGTGGTGAGCGACAGGGTGAGGAGTGGTGAGTCTAGTGGTGAGCATCAGGGTGAGGAGTGGTGAGTGTCAGGGTGAGTCTAGTGGTGAGCGACAGGGTGAGGAGTGGTGAGTGTCAGGGTGAGTCTAGTGGTGAGTCAGGGTGAGCTGTTTACCCGCCGCTCCACGTGCCGTCATTGCCGCAGTCACCTGACCATAAGCTGCGGCCGCTGGGAATCCTGGGTAGAAAAAGAGTGACGTGGTGAGCGTGGTGGTGAGCGTGGTGGTGGTGGTGAGCGTGGTGGTGGTGAGCGTGGTGGTGAGCGCGGTGGTGAGCGTGGTGGTGGTGGTGGTGGTGAGCGTGGTGGTGTGTGTAGTGGTGAGCGTGGTGGTGAGCGTGGTGGTGGTGGTGAGCGTGGTGGTGGTGAGCGTGGTGGTGAGCGCGGTGGTGAGCGTGGTGGTGAGCGTGGTGGTGAGCGTGGTGGTGTGTGTAGTGGTGAGCGTGGTGGTGAGCGTGGTGGTGAGCGTGGTGGTGAGCGTGGTGGTGAGCGTGGTGGTGAGTGTGGTGGTGAGTGTGGTGGTGAGTGTGGTGGTGAGCGTGGTGGTGAGCGTGGTGGTGAGTGTCGTGGTGAGTGACGTGGTGAGCGTGGTGGTGAGTGTAGTGGTGAGCGTGGTGGTGAGCGTGGTGGTGAGTGACGTGGTGAGTGTGGTGGTGAGTGTGGTGGTGAGTGTGGTGGTGAGTGTGGTGGTGAGTGACGTGGTGAGTGTGGTGGTGAGCATGGTGGTGAGTGTGGTGGTGAGTGTAGTGGTGAGTGACGTGGTGAGTGTCGTGGTGAGTGACGTGGTGAGTGGTGAGTGTAGTGGTGAGTGTCGTGGTGAGTGTCATGGTGAGTGACGTGGTGAGTGTAGTGGTGAGTGTCGTGGTGAGTGTCATGGTGAGTGACGTGGTGAGTGTCGTGGTGAGTGACGAGTGTAGTGGTGAGTGTCGTGGTGAGTGTCGTGGTGAGTGTCATGGTGAGTGTCATGGTGAGTGACGTGGTGAGTGTCGTGGTGAGTACCGGGGAAGTGATATCCGTAAGCAGGAGGAAGGCTTGGATAGCCCCGGCCAGTGTACGCAGCTGCAAAACTGGGGTAGCCTGCACCACCAACATCACCACAACCATCATCACCACCACCATCACCACCACAACCACCACCAACAACAACCAGCACAACCATTATCACCACCATCATCACCACCATCATCACCACCACCATCATCACCACCACCATCACCACAACCATCATCACCACCACCATCATCACAACGATCACCACCACCACAACCATTATCACCATCATCATCACCACCCCCAACATCACCACAACCATCATCACCACCACCACCATCATCACAACGATCACCACCACAACCACCACCAACAACAACCACCACCACCATCACCACAACCACCACAACCACCACCAACAACAACCAAGCACAACCACCATCGCCACCACCAACAATCACCACCACAACCACCATCACCGCCACCATCACCACCATCACCGCCATCATCACCAGCACAACCACCGTTACCACCACCATCACCACAACCACCACCATCACCATCATCACCACCACCATCACCACCACCACCATCATCACCACCACAACCACCATCACCACCACCATCATCACCACCACAACCACCATCACCACCACCATCACCACCACCATCACCATCACCACAACCACCACCATCACTATCATCACCATCACCACCACCACCACAACCACAACCACCACAACCACCACCACAACCACCACCACCAATAAAGAAAGCAACACGCCTTTCCAAATCGCAACAACAACAACAACAAAAAAATCGCGGTCTTTGCAAATTGCCAATCGCGTTGTTTCAAATTGCGATAGCGATTTGAGACCGACGGATCGTCCAGCCCTACTTCGATTGGCGACTCCTTCACCATGACCCCGGACCGCTGCCTGGCTTTAACACGTGCCCCAAAAAAGAGTGAATCCACCACCCTGACACCGAGTAGGGTGACGTTTCCATGGTGACGACAACGTCCGTCGGCATCATGGCGGGCGGGGTTTGGACACGCCATCAAAACCCACACCCCCGCAAAAAAAACCAAAAAACTTCGTCACGGTGAATAATGTTGGTCCCCATTTGGATTTTTAGACCTTCACTCATTTTCATTTTCAGCAGCGAGTTCGAGTTCACGTTGCCCAGCATGCCGTGCGAGCCCCGCCCACGCGCCATTACCCAGCATGCCGTGCGAGCCCCCCACCCCGCCCACGCCACATTACCCAGCATGCCGTGCGAGCCCCCCCACCCCCACGGACCATTACCCAGCATGCCGTGCGAGCCCCCCACCCCACCCACGCCACATTACCCAGCATGCCGTGCGAGCCCCCCACCCCGCCCACGCCACATTACCCAGCATGCCGTGCGAGCCCGCCCATGCTCCATTACCCAGCATGCCGTGCGAGCCCCCCCCCCACCCCCCACCCACGCCACATTACCCAGCATGCCGTGCGAGGCCCCCCCCCGCCCACGCCACATTACCCAGCATGCCGTGCGAGCCCCCCCCCCCCCACGCCACATTACCCAGCATGCCGTGCGAGCCCGCCCACGCCACATTACCCAGCATGCCGTGCGAGCCCGCCCACGCCACATTACCCAGCATGCCGTGCGAGCCCCCCCACCCCCACGGACCATTACCCAGCATGCCGTGCGAGCCCCCCACCCCACCCACGCCACATTACCCAGCATGCCGTGCGAGCCCGCCCATGCTCCATTACCCAGCATGCCGTGCGAGCCCCCCACCCCACCCACGCCACATTACCCAGCATGCCGTGCGAGCCCGCCCATGCTCCATTACCCAGCATGCCGTGCGAGCCCCCCCCCCCACCCCCCACCCACGCCACATTACCCAGCATGCCGTGCGAGCCCGCCCACGCCACATTACCCAGCATGCCGTGCGAGCCCCCCCCCCACGCCACATTACCCAGCATGCCGTGCGAGCCCGCCCACGCCACATTACCCAGCATGCCGTGCGAGCCCGCCCACGCCACATTACCCAGCATGCCGTGCGAGCCCCCCCACCCCCACGGACCATTACCCAGCATGCCGTGCGAGCCCCCCACCCCCACGGACCATTACCCAGCATGCCGTGCGAGCCCCCCACCCCCACGCCACATTACCCAGCATGCCGTGCGAGCCCCCCACCCCCCACCCACGCCACATTACCCAGCATACCGTGCGAGCCCCCCCCCCCCCACGCCACATTACCCAGCATGCCGTGCGAGCCCCCCCCCCCCCCGCCCACGCCACATTACCCAGCATGCCGTGCGAGCCCGCCCATGCTCCATTACCCAGCATGCCCATGCCCAGCATGAAGGCGTCCATGGCGTATGGGATGGCCCGGGCACGGCCACGGATTGACCCTGGTGGGAACATGACCTCCTTGGGCTGAGCCTTCTTACACTCCACCTACACACACACACACACAGCGTTCAGGCTGAGTCGACCTAGAGGTGACACACTCCACCTTGACACACACACACACACACAGCGTTCAGGCTGAGTCTACCTAGAGGTGACACACACACAGTGCAGGCTGAGTCGACCTAGAGGTGAGACACTCCACCTACACACACACACACAGCGTTCAGGCTGAGTCGACCTAGAGGTGACACACTCCACCTACACACACACACACAGCGTTCAGGCTGAGTCGACCTAGAGGTGACACACTCCACCATGACACACAGAGAGTGTAGGCTGAGTCTACCTAGAGGTGACACACTCCACCTACACACACACACACAGCGTTCAGGCTGAGTCGACCTAGAGGTGACACACTCCACCTTGACACACACACAGTGCAGGCTGAGTCAACCTAGAGGTGAGACACTCCACCTTGACACACACACACAGTGTAGGCTGAGTCGACCTAGAGGTGACACACTCCACCATGACACACACACACAGAGTTCAGGCTGAGTCAACCTAGAGGTGACACACTCCACCTTGACACACACACACAGAGTTCAGGCTGAGTCTACCTAGAGGTCAGACACTCCACCTTGACACACACACACAGTGTAGGCTGAGTCTACCTAGAGGTCAGACACTCCACCTTGACACACACACACACAGAGTTCAGGCTGAGTCGATCTAGAGGTCTGACACTCCACCATGACACACACACACAGAGTTCAGGCTGAGTCTACCTAGAGGTGACACACTCCACCATGACACACACACAGAGTGTAGGCTGAGTCGACCTAGAGGTGACACACTCCACCTTGACACACACACACACAGAGTTCAGGCTGAGTCGACCTAGAGGTGACACACTCCACCTTGACAAACACACACACAGAGTTCAGGCTGAGTCGACCTAGAGGTGAGACACTCCACCTTGACACACACACACACAGTGTAGGCTGAGTCGACCTAGAGGTGAGACACTCCACCTTGACACACACACAGAGTGTAGGCTGAGTCGACCTAGAGGTGACACACTCCACCTTGACACACACACACACACAGAGTTCAGGCTGAGTCTACCTAGAGGTGACACACTCCACCTTGACACACACACACAGAGTGTAGGCTGAGTCGACCTAGAGGGGAGACACTCCACCTTGACACACACACACACACAGAGTGTAGGCTGAGTCGACCTAGAGGTGAGACACTCCACCTTGACACACACACACAGAGTTCAGGCTGAGTCTACCTAGAGGTGAGACACTCCACCTTGGTGGTGTAGTGGTGGTGGTGGTGGTGTAGTGGTGGTGTAGTGGTGGTGTAGTGGTGGTGGTGTAGTGGTGGTGGTGTAGTGGTGGTGGTGTAGTGGTGGTGGTGTAGTGGTGGTGTAGTGGTGGTGGTGTAGTGGTGGTGGTGTAGTGGTGTTGGTGGTGTAGTGGTGGTGTAGTGGTGGTGTAGTGGTGGTGGTGTAGTAGTGGTGTAGTAGTGGTGGTGTAGTGGTGGTGGTGAAGTGGTGGTGGTGAAGTGGTGGTGGTGTAGTGGTGGTGGTGTAGTGGTGGTGGTGTAGTGGTGGTGGTGTAGTGGTGTTGGTGGTGTAGTGGTGGTGTAGTGGTGGTGGTGTAGTAGTGGTGGTGTGGTGGTGGTGTAGTGGTGGTGGTGTAGTGGTGGTGGTGTAGTGGTGGTGTAGTGGTGGTGGTGAAGTGGTGGTGGTGTAGTGGTGGTGGTGTAGTGGTGGTGGTGTTGGTGGTGTAGTGGTGGTGTAGTGGTGGTGGTGTAGTGGTGGTGGTGTAGTAGTGGTGGTGGTGTAGTGGTGGTGGTGTAGTGGTGGTGGTGTAGTGGTGGTGGTGTAGTGGTGGTGGTGTAGTGGTGGTGGTGTAGTGGTGGTGGTGTGGTGGTGGTGGTGTGGTGGTGGTGTAGTGGTGTAGTGGTGGTGTAGTGGTGGTGGTGTAGTGGTGGTGGTGTAGTGGTGGTGTAGTGGTGGTGGTGTAGTGGTGGTGGTGTAGTGGTGTAGTGGTGGTGGTGTAGTAGTGGTGGTGTAGTGGTGGTGTAGTGGTGGTGGTGTAGTGGTGGTGGTGGTGGTGAAGAGGTGGTGTAGTGGTGGTGGTGTAGTGGTGGTGTAGTGGTGATGTGTAGTGGTGGTGGTGTAGTGGTGGTGGTGAAGCGGTGGTGGTGTAGTGGTGGTGGTGTAGTGGTGGTGGTGTAGTGGTGGTGGTGAAGAGGTGGTGTAGTGGTGGTGGTGTAGTGGTGGTGTAGTGGTGGTGTAGTGGTGGTGGTGTAGTGGTGGTGGTGAAGCGGTGGTGGTGTAGTGGTGGTGGTGTAGTGGTGGTGGTGTAGTGGTGGTGGTGTAGTGGTGGTGGTGTAGTGGTGGTGGTGTAGTGGTGGTGGTGTAGTGGTGGTGGGGTGGTGGTGGTGGTGTAGTGGTGGTGAAGTGACGGTGGTGGTGAAGTGAACTTCGCTAGCACTGGGGGAGACAAAGGCGGCCGGGAGCATAGCTGGCCACCCACCCCCTCAGTGTGTGCATCATAGGTGGTGCTACTCGCTACTACTAACAGCACTTGCCCCTACAGCCTTGCTACAGGCTACCTGGGGGACCTTTGTCTGTGAGTGTACATCATAGGTGGTGCTACTAGCAGCACTTACCCCTACAGCCCTGCTGGAGGCTACCTGGGGGAGCATTTGTCTGTGGTTGCGTACCATCTTGTTGTTGATCTCATGGAAGTGAATGTCGCAGACTTTCTCCACCACCTCCTCGCTCTCGAACGTCACGAAGCCAAAGCCTGGGGCATCCCCGCACAGACACGCACGGACACCCACAGACACCCACAGACACCCACAGACACGCACAGACACGCACAGACACGCACAGACACGCACAGACACGCACAGACACGCACGCACAGACACGCACGCACAGACACGCACAGGCACGCACAGGCACGCACAGACACGCACAGGCACGCACAGGCACACAGACACACACAGACACACAGACACCCACAGACACGCACAGACACGCACAGGCACGCACAGACACGCACAGACACGCACAGGCACGCACAGACACGGACAGGCACGCACAGGCACACAGACACACACAGACACACACAGACACACAAGACACGCACAGACACGCACAGGTACACAGATTACACAATGCGCACAGAGGACACACACGCTATACTGTACACCCCATACTGTATATAAAGACACTATACTGTACATAGACACTATACTGTACGCACGATACTGTCCAGACAATATACTGTACACGCACCACTGTACACAACCGACTGTACACAGGCAATACACTGTACACAATGCTATGTCCAGCCGATACTGTATATAGCCACTCTACTGTATATACTATACTGTATATACCACACTGTACACACGATACTGTATATAGGCACTCCACTGTACACACATGCTATATTCACACTACTGTGTATATACACTATGCTATATACAGACTATACTGTATATAGACACCACACTGTATGAACATACTGTACATAGACACTATACTGTATACACACACTATACTGTATATAGACACCACTAGAGGCACCATACTGTACACAGACACTATACTGTACACATTGTACTGTACAGACACCACACTGTACATACTATACTGTACATATAGACTATACTGTATTCACACTATACTGTATATAGGCACCACACTGTATAAACACATACTGCACATATACACTATACTGTACACACACCATACTGTATATAGACACAACACTGTACAGGCACTACTGCACATATAGGCAGTATACTGTATACACACTATACTGTATATACACCGCACTGTACAAACAATATACTGTACACACATTGTATATGCATACTGTACTGTATACACATGCTATACCCACTATACTGTACACGCAAGACCACTGTACGCACACCACACTGTAACATGCACACACTATAACCGTACACACACTGTACTGCATACACATGCTAAGCACTATACTGTACACACTAAACTGTACACAAATGTGCTGCACACAATATACTGTATATGCGCACGCCATACCGTATACACACTGTACTTCACAAGACTCTACCGTATACACACTGTACTGTGTAAGACCACACTGTATATGCACATGCTATACACAACACATACTGTACACACACACGCTATACACTGCATTGGATGTGCGATATAGTGTATACATGTACACACTATACAGACTATACTGTACACACACTAAACTGTATGTAGACTATATTGTACATACACCTTATACTGTACACACTGTACTGTACACACATGCTATACAAGGCAACACTGTATTGCATGCACACAATTACAGAATATACTGTATGAACACTACACCGTACACTCCATACTGTATACACAGAACGCACTGTATACACACACGCCACAACACTGTACTTAAATACTACAAACACTACTGTATACAGACTATACTGTACATACGTGCTATACACCATATATACTGTACAAGTCAACGTATGCACACTAGACTGTATATACACACGCTATACACACTTATACTGTATATACACACGCTATACACACTTATACTGTATATACACACGCTATACACACTTATACTGTATATACACACTACACACTTATACTGTATATACACACTACACACTTATACTGTATATACACACTACACACTTATACTGTATATACACACACTAATACTGTATACACACACTACTATATATACACACACTACTATATATACACACACTACTATATATACACACTACTATATATACACACACTACTATATACATACACACACTACTATATACATACACACACTACTATATACACACACACACTACTATATACACACACACACTACTATATACACACACACACACTACTATATACACACACACACTACTATATACACACACACACACTACTATATACACACACACACTACTATATACACACACACACACTACTATATACACACACACACACTACTATATACACACACACACTACTATATACACACACACACTACTATATACACACACACTACTATATACACACACACTACTATACACACACACTACTATATACACACACACACACTACTATATATACACACACACACACTACTATATACACACACACACTACTATATACACACACACACTACTATATACACACACACTACTATATACACACACACACTACTATATACACACACACACTACTATATACACACACTACTATATACACACACACTACTATATACACACACACTACTATACACACACACACTACTATACACACACACACTACTATATACACACACACTACTATATACACACACACTACTATATACACACACACTACTATATACACACACACACTACTATACACACTACTACAGTGAGGGAAAAAAGTATTTGATCCCCTGCTGATTTTGTACGTTTGCCCACTGACAAATAAATGATCAGTCTTTAATTTTAATGGTAGGTTTATTTGAACAGTGAGAGACAGAATAACAACAAAAAAATCCAGAAAAACGCATGTCGAAAATGTTATAAATTGATTTGCATCTTAGTGAGGGAAATAAGTATTTGACCCCCTCTCAAATCAGAAAGATTTCTGGCTCCCAGGTGTCTTTTATACAGGTAACGAGCTGAGATTAGGAGCACACTCTTAAAGGGAGTGCTCCTAATCTCAACTTGTTACCTGTATTAAAGACACCTGTCCACAGAAGCAATAAATCAATCAGATTCCAAACTCTCCACCATGGCCAAGACCAAAGAGCTCTCCAAGGATGTCAGGGACAAGATTGTAGACCTACACAAGGCTGGAAATGGGCTACAAGACCATTGCCAAGCAGCTTGGTGAGAAGGTGACAACAGTTGGTGCGATTATTCGCAAATGGAAGAAACACAAAAGAACTGTCAATCTCCCTCGGCCTGGGGCTCCATGCAAGATCTCACCTCGTGGAGTTGCAATGATCATGAGAACGGTGAGGAATCAGCCCAGGACTACACGGGAGGATCTTGTCAATGATCTCTAGGCAGCTGGGATCATAGTCACCAAGAAAACAATTGGTAACACACTACGCCGTGAAGGACTGAAATCCTGCAGCGCCCACAAGGTCCCCCTGCTCAAGAAAGCACATATACATGCCCGTCTGAAGTTTGCCAATGAACATCTGAATGATTCAGAGGACAACTGGGTGAAAGTGTTGTGGTCAGATGAGACCAAAATGGAGCTCTTTGGCATCAACTCAACTCGCCGTGTTTGGAGGAGGAGGAATGCTGCCTATGACCCCAAGAACACCATCCCCACCGTCAAACATGGAGGTGGAAACATTATGGGGGTGTTTTTCTGCTAAGGGGACAGGACAACTTCACCGCATCAAAGGGACGATGGACGGGGCCATGTACCGTCAAAATCTTGGGTGAGAACCTCCTTCCCTCAACCAGGGCATTGAAAATGGGTCGTGGATGGGTATTCCAGCATGACAATGACCCAAAACACACGGCCAAGGCAACAAAGGAGTGGCTCAAGAAGAAGCACATTAAGGTCCTGGAGTGGCCTAGCCAGTCTCCAGACCTTAATCCCATAGAAAATCTGTGGAGGGAGCTGAAGGTTCGAGTTGCCAAACGTTAGCCTCGAAACCTTAATGACTTGGTGGGACAAAATCCCTCCTGAGATGTGTGCAAACCTGGTGGCCAACTACAAGAAACGTCTGACCTCTGTGACTGCCAAGAAGGGTTTTGCCACCAAGTACAAAGTCATGTTTTGCAGAGGGGTCAAATACTTATTTCCCTCATTAAAATGCAAATCAATTAATAACATTTTTAACATGCGTTTTTCTGGATTTTGTTGTTATTCTGTCTCTCATTGTTCAAATAAACCTACCATTAAAATTATAGACTGATCATTTATTTGTCAGTGGGCAAACGTACAAAATCAGCAGGGGATCAAATACTTTTTTCCCTCACTGTATATATACACACATTACTATATACACACTATACACACTACTATATATACACACACACTAAACACACACTATATACACACTACTATACACACACTATATGCACACACTACTATACACACACACACTACTATATATACACTACTATACACACACACTACTATACAAACACACATTACTATACACACACACTAGACACACACTATATACACACTACTATACACACACACACACTACTATATATACACTACTATACACACACTACACACACTACTATATATACACTACTATACACACACTACACACACTACTATACACACACCCTACTATACACACATTACTATACACACTACTATACACACTCACACTACACACAACTATACACACACATTACTATACACACACTACTATACACACTACTATACACACACTACTATACAAACACACATTACTATACACACACACACTAGACACACACTATATACACACACACACTACTACATATACACTACTATATATACACTACTATACACACACAGACTATACACACATTACTATACACACACACTAGACACACTATATACACACTACTATACACACACACTACTATATATACACACTACTATACACACACTACACACACTACTATACACACACATTACTATACACACACACACACTACACACTCACACTACACACAACTATACACACACACACTATATACACACACTACTATACATACACTACTATATATACACACTACTATACACACACTACAATACACACACACTACTATACACACACATTACTATACACACTACTATACACACACTACACACACTACTATACACACACACACACTACTATATATACACTACTATACACACACTACACACACTACTATACACACACACTACACACTCACACTACACACTACTATACACACACACTATACACACACTATACACACAACTATACACACACACTAGTATATATTGCACTCTATACACTACACACACGACTCTATACAGTGTGCGTAGTGTGTGCGTGTGTGCTGATGCGCGTGTCCTTGTCAATGTCACAGCCGTTCATCCAGATTTAACCAGATTCTACACGGACAGCCAGATACACACAAACACACACGTATACACACACACACTCTCACACATATATACACACATAGACACACAACACAAGTATATACACACAAACACACGTACACAAACACACGTATATACACGCACACAAACACACGTATATACACTCACATATACACACACACACACACGTATACACACTCTCACACGTATACACACACATTCACACGTATACACACACATACACACGTATACACACGTATATAAACACACACTCTCACACAGACACACACACTCTCACACATACATATATACACACACAACACACGTATACACACACACACACAACACACGTATATACACACAAACACACACTCTCACACACACACTCTCACACGTATATACACTCTCACACACACACACTCACCCATTTAAATACACACTCACCCATACACACACACACTCACCCATATACACACACACTCACCCATATACGCACACACTCACCCAAACACACACACTCACCCATATACACACAAACTCACGCATATACACACAAACTCACCCAAACACACACTCACCCAAACACACACACTCACCCATATATACACAAACTCACCTCACTCACCTGACATCTCACTCACCCTCTCACCAAACCTCACCTCGCTCACCAAACCTCACCTCGCTCACCCTCTCACTCACCAAACCTCACCCCGCGCTCACTCACCAAGCCTCGCTCACCCTCTCACTCACCCCACATCTCACTCACCCACTCACCAAACTTCACCTCGCTCACCCTCTCACTCACCCCACATCTCACTCACCCACTCACCAAACCTCACCTCGCTCACCCTCTCACTCACCCCACATCTCACTCACTCACCCGCCCGACGTACCGCTCGCTCACCCTCTCACTCACCAAACCTCACCCCGCGCTCACCCACCCCGCGCTCACCCACGTACTCACCCCTATGCCTGTTCGTCGTTTTGTCGAACATCAGCATGGCATCCTCGACCTGCGGACAGCACAAAGACAAAGATCCCCCGTGCAGCCTTTAACAGACTTGTAGGGGCAAGTGCTGTTAGCGAGTTAGCAGCAGCGGCCTGTCAAGGCCGGAACGGCACACGAGGGGGTGGTGGTGTTGACCAGCACCACCACCACCACCTCCACCACCACAACCACCACCACCACAACCAGCTCCACCACCACCACAACCACCTCCACCACAACCAGCTCCACCACAACCACAACCACCACCACCACCACAACCAGCTCCACCACCACCAGCTCCACCACCACCACAACCAACTCCACCACCACAACCACCACCACCACCACAACCAGCTCCACCACAACCACCACCACCACCACAACCAGCTCCACCATCACCAACACCACCACAACCACCTCCACCACAACCACCACCACCACCACAACCAGCTCCACCATCACCAACACCACCACCACAACCAGCTCCACCATCACCAACACCACCACCACCACCACAACCAGCTCCACCATCACCAACACCACAACCACCACAACCACCACCTCCACCACAACCAGCTCCACCACAACCACCACCACAACCAGCTCCACCATCACCACCACAACCAGCTCCACCATCACCAACACCACAACCACCACAACCAGCTCCACCATCACCAACACCACAACCACCACCAATGCTATGCTTCTCACCGGGACTAAAGCAGGAAGTTAATTTTCCACAATTACATTCCTTAAATAATTATCGAATAGAGCAAGTCAAGATCTATCAGTATCTTGGGGTCATCCTGGATTCAAAACTGAATTTTGAAGATCACATTGATTATATTGGTAAAAAGACAAAAATAAAAATTGGTTTTCTGTATCGACACAAGCACTGCTTCCCCCCAATGTTCCGTTTGGAATTGATAAAAGCTACCATACTGCCTCTACTTGATTACTGTGATATCGTGTATAAATCAGCCCCAAGTACTGTACTGAAGAAGCTTGATTCCATCTATCACTCGGCCTTAAGATTTGCATTGATACTGCCCATATAGGACTCACCACTGTGATCTCTACATTGGGTCAAACTTAACATGTCTTAATGTTCGACGGATTGTGCACCAGATCTTATTTGCTCACGATGTACTTACAAAAAAATCCGCAGACTTACCTGCTGCTGGATCTCCTCTCTGTTTCAAAGAACAAATCTGACCTCAGGTCTTCGCTCATTTACCAGCTTTCACATTCCCCTATTGCCGTACAAAAACCGGAGGAAGGGCCTTTGCTATTGGGTCTGGAATGCTATTGCTAATCAACTGCAACTTGAATCAATACCTATGGGATCTTCAACTCAAAACTGCTCTAGAGGAGTTGTTACACCCCTAGCCGACACTGCTATTCAGCGGCCTAAAATAAAATAAAATGTTTCGCTCCGGATGACCTCTGCAAAGTATTATCTGTATTTTGATTTAGCGTGCCGGTCTTTAAAGGTGCTTCGAAAAATGTGATACTCCGACTGATGCTCCTGTTGGTTTTCACGCCTGATGATGACCGTTTGTGTTATGGTCGAAACGTCGTGAGAATTTTTATTGTTTTTTATATATATGTTTCATTATTTTATTGTTTCCCTTCAACGTGACTTTAACCGAAAGCGCTAAGAATATGATGCTCCTGTTGTTTGTGGAGTGACCCATGCAGCCAGCTATGGCTCTAGGGTTTGGTGTTACACGTTATTTATGTAGTTTACTGTTAAAAAATTCGGTCACAGTCCCTGTGATCACTGTCACGTTGCATTGATGGCTTCATTTTGGCGATTTCGAAAACGTTTATTGGTCTGGCCATGTTCGTGTTTATTGTAGTACGGAGTTAGACTGATGGCCTTAATCTTGGTTGTCTTGTGGTTGTTGTTGTTTGACTTGCATCCCACTGGGATTTTTTTGCACACAGCGTTGGTGGTGTACGGTGCTTTTTTCAGGAATATTTTGCTGTGTGTTTTTTCAAGGATTTTCTGTTTGCACAGTCACACAAAGTCACTTGAAGACGTTGTTCTTGTTCGTGTTTTAGTTTTTAGTTTGTTGTGGTTGCACCCGATTCAAGAGCAGAATGGCTCACAGGGCTATACCAAAATAAATGGAAATTAAATGGAAAATGAACCACCACCATCTCCACCACCACCACCACCATCTCCACCACCACCACCACCACCATCTCCACCACCACCACCATCTCTCCACCACCACCACCGTCTCTCCACCACCACCACCACCATCTCCACCACCACCATCTCCACCACCACCACCACCATCTCCACCACCACCACCACCATCTCCACCACCACCACCATCTCCACCACCACCACCACCATCTCCACCACCACCACCACCTCCACCACCACCACCACCATCTCCACCACCACCACCACCATCATCTCCACCACCACCACCACCACCATCTCCACCACCACCACCACCATCTCCACCACCACCACCACCATCTCCACCACCACCACCATCATCTCCACCACCACCACCAACATCTCCACCACCACCACCATCTCCACCACCACCACCACCATCATCTCCACCACCACCATCTCCACCACCATCTCTCCACCACCACCACCACCACCATCTCCACCACCACCACCACCATCTCCACCACCACCACCACCATCTCCACCACCACCACCATCTCTCCACCACCACCACCATCTCCACCACAACCACCACCACCACGCCCGGCCGCCTTTGTATCTCCCCCAGTGTCGGCAATGTTTTACGGCGCACTCACCCAGGTGAGTTCAGTCACCCTCACCACCTCACCACCTCACCACTTCACCACCTCACCCAGGTGAGCAATGTCACCCTCACCACCTCACCCAGGTGAGCAATGTCACCCTCACCACCTCGCCCAGGTGAGTAATGTCACCCTCACCACCTCACCCAGGTGAGTAATGTCACCCTCACCACCTCACCCAGGTGAGCAATGTCACCCTCACCACCTCACCCAGGTGAGCAATGTCACCCTCACCACCTCACCACCTCACCCAGGTGAGCAATGTCACCCTCACCACCTCACCCAGGTGAGCAATGTCACCCTCACCACCTCGCCCAGGTGAGTAATGTCACCCTCACCACCTCACCCAGGTGAGCAATGTCACCCTCACCACCTCACCCAGGTGAGTAATGTCACCCTCACCACCTCACCCAGGTGAGCAATGTCACCCTCACCACCTCGCCCAGGTGAGTAATGTCACCCTCACCACCTCACCCAGGTGAGCAATGTCACCCTCACCACCTCACCCAGGTGAGCAATGTCACCCTCACCACCTCACCCAGGTGAGGCTACCTAGGAGACGGAGTGGGTTTGGGAGTTTCCATGGCGACAGACGCAGGCACAGAGGCCACACCAGGTGGGGCACCCCCAGAGAGCGTGGGTGTGTGTGTGTGTGTCTGTTTGTGTGTGTGTCTGTGTGTCTGTGTGTGTGTGTCTGTGTGTGTGTGTGTCTGTGTGTGTGTGTCACTGTGTGTGTGTGAGTGTGTGTCACTGTGTGTGTGTGAGTGTGTGTGTCTGTGTGTGTGTGTCTGTGTGTGTGTCTGTGTGTGTGTCTGTGTGTGTGTGTCTGTGTGTGTGTCTGTGAGTGTGTGTCTGTGTGTGTGTGTGTCTGTGTGTGTGTCTGTGTGTGTCTGTGTGTGTGTCTGTGTGTGTGTCTGTGAGTGTGTCTGTGTGTGTGTGTCTGTGTGTCTGTGTGTGTGTCTGTGTCACTGTGTGTGTGTGTGTCTGTGTGTGTCTGTGTGTGTCTGTGTGTCACTGTGTGTGTGTGAGTGTGTGTGTCTGTGTGTGTGCGTGAGTGTGTGTGTCTGTGTGTGTGTCTGTGTGTGTCTGTGTGAGTGTGTGTGTGAGTGTGTGTGTGAGTGTGTGTGTGTCACTGTGTCTGTGTGTGTGTGTCTGTGTGTGTGTGTCTGTGTGTGTGTCTGTGTGTGTGTCTGTGTGTGTGTGTGTGTCTATCTGTGTGTCTGTGTGTGTCTATCTGTCTGTGTGTCTGTGTGTGTATGTGTCTGTGTGTGTGTGTCTGTGTCTGTGTGTGTGTCTGTGTGTGTCTGTGTGTGTTTGTGTGTGTGTCTGTGTGTGTCTGTGTGTGTGTCTGTGTGTGTCTGTGTGTGTGTGTCTGTGTGTGTGTGTCTGTGTGTGTGTGTCTGTGTGTGTCTGTGTGTGTATGTGTCTGTGTGTGTGTGTGTCTGTGAGTGTGTGTCTGCGTGTCTGTGTGTGTGTCTGTGTGTGTGTCTGTGTGTATGTGTCTGTGTGTGTGTGTCTGTGTGTGTGTCTGTATGTGTGTCTGTGTGTATGTGTCTGTGTGTCTGTGTGTGTCTGTGTGTATGTGTCTGTGTGTCTGTGTGTGTGTGTGTGTCTGTGTCTGTGTGTGTGTCTGTGTGTGTCTGTGTGTGTGTGAGTGTGTCTGTGTGTGTCTGTGTGTACTGCATGTGTGCTTGTGTGTATGTCTGTGTGCGTGTCTGTGTGTGTGTCTATGTGTACTGCGTGTGTGCCTGTGTGTATGTCTGTGTGTGTGTGTCTGTGTGTGTGTCTGTGCGGCAAAACAACCCCCTACCTCCTCGCGGTGCCGGACGGGCAACTCTGTCGTGGACAGTGCTGTGGGGGGAGGTCCAATTTTAATTGGCTCCTCCCCTCATGACATATGTGTTCACCACAGGGGTAAACGGGGGCTCTGGACGGGTGCGAGGGGCTGGTAACCCCTCCACCTTCAATTAATTACCACTAAACCACGAGTTAAACTGAAACATCTAACTAATAAGCTTGTGCCGGAGGCCCCGGGGGGCCAGGCGTCTATGATGTCTCCTGGCCAAACCCCAATTGGCGGAGCCAGGAGATTGAATATCTACCCTTGGGGCTCCTCCAGAAACAACGAAAAGCCACTACGGGTGGCCACGTGGAATGTTCGAAAGCTCACTGCGGAGGAGAGGCTGCCACTCCTCTGTCGGGAGCTGGACCGGTACCGCCTGGATCTGTGCAGCATTCAGGAGGTCCGGTGGACCGGCTCTGGCTCCTGCCACCATGAGGGGTGGACAGTCCTCTACTCGGGGCAGCAGACTGCCAGACAACAGGGTGTGGCTCTTCTTTTGAACAAAAGAATGAAGGGGGCGTGGGGGCATGGGAGCGTGGCGGTGAGGTGTGGGAAGCTGTAAGTCCCAGGCTACTTTGGGCTCGCCTTCCCATCAACCGGAGGCGAGGAATGGTGGTCGTGGTTACTTATGCCCCCACCGAAGATGAACATCCGTGGAGGGATGCAGGCAAAGCCGATGAGTCAGATGCCTTCTATGACCTCCTGTCCAAGGTGCTGGCTAAAGTGGCCTCTCGGGATAGAGTCATCATGTTGGGTAACTTCAATGCCCGAGTTGGTCATGATACTGGCACCTGGTCTGGAGTGATTGGAGGGCATGGGCCAGATCAGCTCAATAACAACGGTAGGAGGCTGCTAGATTTTTGTGCAGCCCATGGGCTTGTAATTACCAACACGCTGTTCCGGCATCGGCGTATCCACACAACATCATGGATGCATGCCGGGTCCAAGCAAGAACATCTGCTGGACTACATAGTGACGGACCAGCGGATGCGAGCCCATGTCCTTGACACCAGGACCTACCATAGAGCTGATTTGCCCTCTGACCATCGACTAGTCATCTGTAAGATGCGCCTGCCATTCTTCCACTCCGGTGGTGGGTGTACACCCAGGACTCCATTCCAACCTAAAGTGGCCTGGTCTCAGCTAGCTGATGAAAGTTGCAAGCGAGTATTTCATCATCGCTTGCGGCTGGGATTGGCATCGTCCCCGACTCCTCCTGATGTCGAGGGTAAATGGGCGAGGTTTAGGACTGTGACTCATGCAGCTGTGGCTGCTTTGGGTACGCGGTCCAGACCTCCCCAGAGACCCTGGCTGACAGCGGAGGTGTTCAAGCTGGCTGAGAAAAAGCGACAGGCCCACTGTCATCAGCTACAGAATCCCACGTCAGAGAATGAGGAGGCTTACCGCAGCCTTCGCTCGGAGGTTCGGAGAGCCGTGAGGCGCTGCAAGGATGGGTGGTGGTCGCGGGTTGCTGAGGAGATGGAGTCTGCCTCAGTGGCCCGCGATCACAAATCGCTCTTTAACTCCATCAAAAAAGTAACCTGCAGCGCCAAACCTATTACCATCTTTAGGGGAAAAAACGGTGACCCAATCTCCGACCCCCAGGAACAGGTTTGCAGATTTGCTGAGCATTTCTGTGAGGTCCTGGGGGAGAGAAAATCCCTCAGCCAGGAAAACATCGTGGCACAAAGTGAGGATGACCCTGCTGAGGCTGCGGTGCCTCAAATATTGGAAGAAGTCACCCCCTGTGAGTGGCTGGCTGAGGTGCCATCTGCTGAGGAAGTATTGAAGGCGATCCAGAGTCTGAGACCAGGAAAGGCAGCGGGCAGAGATGATCTCCCAAGCGAAATGCTGAGGGAGGGTGGCGTTTGTGCACAGACTGCCCTATATGACATCATAACAACAGTCTGGACCACTGGACGGGTTCCGCAGGATTGGAAGGATGCCCTGGTGGTCCCCCTTTTTAAGAAGGGGGACCGCACAGACTGTAACAACTACAGGGGCATCTCACTCCTCAGTGTGCCGGGAAAGGTCCTGGCAAGGATTATTCAACATCACCTTGCCAGGCACGCTGAGGAGAGGCTTGCGGAGCCCCAATGCGGTTTCAGGAAAGGGCGGTCCTGCACGGATGCCATATTTTCTGTCCGTCTGCTACAGCAGAGGTGTAGGGAATTCCAACAAGACCTACATCTCTGCTTTATTGACCTGGTCAAGGCCTATGATACCATCAGTAGGCCTGGGCTCTGGGTCGTTCTTCGTGCTTTTGGAGTACCTGACCCTCTGCTCACGATCATTAAGGACCTTCATGATGGTGAGCAGGCCCGGGTAAAACTACGTGGCCGGGAGTCAGAGCCATTCCCTGTACACCTTGGGGTGCGACAGGGATGTCCTCTGGCTCCCACATTATTTAACATCTATTTTGACCACGTAGTTCGTGAAGCCTTCAATAGCTGTACCGGGGGAATCTCCATATGGTACAGATATAATGGGAGGCTGATCGATGCCTGGGTGCGGTCAAGGGATGGCTCCCTATTGCTCAACCACGTTATGTATGCTGATGATTTGGTAATAGCTGCTCATTCAGAGGAGGAGTTGGAGACGCTGCTGCTGAGACTGGAGCGTGCCACTAAGAGGTGGTGCCTTACCATCAGCCCCACCAAAACTAAGCACCTGCCTGGGTATTTTGTACCATCGGACACTCCACCCCACAACTCCCAATCGGTGATGGGGCAGTTGTGGAGAGGGTGGAGAGTTTCCCATACCTGGGCAGTGTGCTTATGACCGGCTCCAGTTTAACAGCAGAGGTCTCACTCTGAATCAGTCGAGCGGCAATATCTATTCATCGGTTGCGTAACGCTGTGTGGAAGCTACCTGGTCTGTCGCTCCGCACTAAGCTTCAGGTCTTCTCAGCCACAGTCATTCCCTCCCTTCTATATGCTTGCGAAACGTGGACCCCCCTAATGGAGCATCTTCGCCAGTTAGAAACATTTAGGCTAGCCTGCCTACGATCCATCCTGGGCTTAACCAGGCTGGATTGTGTGAGGAGCTCACAAATCTTTGAAAGATCTGGGCAAAGTCCCATCGGTGAGCTCCTCCGGCAGGCAAGGCTGCGTTGGCTGGGTCATGTAGCCCGCATGCCCAGCCACCGCATGCCGAAACAGCTTTTGTTCGGCTGGATCGAGGGGGCTAAACGGGCGCGGCACGGGCAAGAGAAGAGATGGAGTGATGTGGTACAGGAGGACGTGGAGCTGAGTGGACTTGCCGATGACCGGTACCAGCGGTGTCAAGATCTGCCTCTGTGGAGGAGGCTCGTGAAGGACGCTATTGGGCAGTTGGAGGCAGTCGCCCTCCAACAACAACGGAGGGCGGAGGAGCGACGCTCACAACAACGAGCGGAGCGCCGGGTGGCTAAAGCACAGCAGGTTGGCACAGTAGGGGGCACAGGTGGTGCATCAGCCAGTCATCTCAGTCAGTCGACCCGTGGCACCTGCTGGGTCTGCCCCGTGACCTCCTGCCGCGGGCGTTCGACACTTCACGTGGCCTCAAAGTGCACGTGGCCTGGCACAAGTGTCATGGTGACGTCACCGCCACTTAGTGGCGAATGGTGGTTGTTGTTGTTGTGTGTGTGTGTGCCTGTGTGCGTGTCTGTGTGTGCGCGTGTCTGTGTCTGTGTGAATGAGCGAGTGGGCAAGTGAGCGAGCAGGTGACCGAGTGGGTGAGTGAGCGGGTAAATGAGCGAGCGGTTGGGCGAGTGAGCGAGTGGGTGAGCGAGTGGGTGAGTGAACGGGCAAGAGAGTGAGTGAGCGAGCGAGCAGGTGAGCAGGTGAGTGAACGGGTGGGTAAGTGAGCGAGTGGGTGAGCGAGTGGGTGAGTGAGTGAGCGAGTGGGTGAGTGAGTGGGTGAGTGAGTGAGCGAGTGGGTGAGTGAGTGGGTGAGTGAGTGAGCGAGTGGGTGAGTGAGTGGGTGAGTGAGCGAGTGACTGACTGGGTGAGTGAGTGAGCGAGTGGGTAAGCGAGCTGTTTGCTGAGCGGTGAGTGAGTGAGTGGGGGAGTGAGTGGGTGAGTGAGTGGGGGAGTGAGTGGGTGGGTGAGCGAGCAAGTGGGTGGGTGAGTGAGCGGGTGGGTGAGCGAGCGGGTGGGTGAGCGAGTGGGTGAGCGAGTGGGTGAGCGAGTGGGTGAGCGAGCGGGTACCTTTCCGAACTGCTCAAAGTAATGTTTGACGTCCTCCAGCACCGTACTGGCTGAGAGACCTCCGACAAAAACTTTCTTTGTCCGCGTCACCATCTGTACCGCGCAGCACCGCACCATCAGATACTACACTCACTCACCACTCATTCACTCACCACACTCACCACTCACTCACCACACTCACCACTCACACTCACCACACACTAACCACTAACTTACCACACTCACTCACTACACACTAACCACTCACTTACCACACTCACTCACCACACACTAACCACTAACTTAACACACTCACCACTCACCAGATACTACTCACTCACCACACGCACCAGATAATACTCACTCACCACACACTACTCACCGCACCAGATAATACTCACTCACCACACACTACTCACCGCACCACCAGATACTCACCACACTCACTGCACCATCATATACTCACCACACTCACTGAGAGACCCACAGTTCCCATACTCACAGCCCCATACTCACAGTCCCACTCATAGAGACCCACAGACCCATCCATACTCACAGTCCCACTCATAGAGACCCACAGACCTATACTCAGAGAACCACAGAAACCCACTGATAGAGACCCAGAGACCTACAGGGACCCTGAGACCCACAGAGACCCACACTCACAGAGACCCACACTCACAGAGACCCACACTCACAGAGACCCACAGAGACCCACACTCAGAGACCCACAGAGACCCACACTCAGAGACCCACAGAGACCCACACTCACAGAGACCCACAGAGACCCACAGAGACCCACACTCACAGAGACCCACACTCACAGAGACCCACACTCACAGAGACCCACACTCACAGAGACCCACAGAGACCAACACCCACAGAGACCCACACTCACAGAGACCCACACTCACAGAGACCCACAGAGACCCACACTCACAGAGACCCACACTCACAGAGACCCACAGAGACCCACACTCACAGAGACCCACACTCACACAGAATGTTTATTGAACCACGTGTAATGCCCCACTGAGCTGTGTAGTAGAATCTATTTTTCAAAAACGACCTGGCCATCAACCAATCACAGCAGCTCAACCCGGTGGCTGCCATTATCATCACCATCACCTCCTGCGTACCAGGCGAGGTAGTTGACATCTCACTACGGGGAGAGACACCGCAAACTCCAAATATACAGCAGCAGGCATCTTCAGGGTCGGGATGGAACCCACGACCCTCCTGTAGACCAGGCGAGGTAGTTAACATATCACCATACACACACACTCCACTCGCTCACTCACCCACTCGCTCGCTCACCCAGTCTCCCGCTCACCCAGTCTCCCGCTCACCCAGTCTCCCGCTCACCCAGTCTCCCGCTCACCCAGTCACTCGCTCACCCAGTCACTCACTCACCCAGTCTCTCGCTCACCCAGTCACTCACCCAGTCACTCACCCAGTCACTCACCCAGTCTCTCGCTCACCCAGTCTCTCACTCACCCAGTCACTCACTCACCCATCTCTCGCTCACCCAGTCTCTCGCTCACCCAGTCTCTCGCTCACCCAGTCTCTCGCTCACCCAGTCTCTCATTCACCCAGGCTCTCACTCACCCAGTCAATCACTCACCAGTACTCTCACACACCCAGTGACTGGGTGAGTGACTGGGTGAGTGAGAGACTGGGTGAGTGAGAGACTGGGTGAGTGAGAGACTGGGTGAGTGACTGGGTGAGTAAGTGAGAGGGTGAGTGAGTGAGTGACTGGGTGAGTGATTGGGTGAGTGAGTGACTGGGTGAGTGAGTGACTGGGTGAGTGAGTGACTGGGTGAGTGAGAGACTGGGTGAGTGACTGGGTGTGTGAGAGACTTGGTGAGTGAGTGACTGGGTGAGTGAGAGACTGGGTGAGTGAGTGACTGGGTGAGCAAGAGACTGGGTGAGCGAGAGACTGGGTGAGCGAGTGACTGGGTGAGCGAGTGACTGGGTGAGCGAGTGACTGGGTGAGTGAGTGACTGGGTGAGTGAAAGACTGGGTGAGTGAGTGACTGGGTGAGTGAGAGACTGGGCAAGTGAGTGACTGGGTGAGTGAGAGACTGGGTGAGTGAGAGACTGGTGAGCGAGACACTGGGTGAGCGAGTGACTGGGTGAGCGAGTGACTGGGTGAGCGAGTGACTGGGTGAGCGAGTGACTGGGTGAGCGAGAGACTGGGTGAGTGAGAGACTGGGTGAGTGAGTGAGTGACTGGGTGAGTGAGTGACTGGGTGAGTGAGAGACTGGGTGAGTGAGAGACTGGGTGAGTAACTGGGTGAGTGAGAGACTGGGTGAGTGAGTGACTGGGTGAGTGAGTGACTGGGTGAGTCAGTGACTGGGTGAGTGAATAACTGGGTGAGTGAATAACTGGGTGAGTGAGAGACTGAGTGAGTGAGTGACTGGGTGAGTGACTGACTGGGTGAGTGACTGGGTGAGTGAGAGACTAGGTGACTTGGTGAGTGAGACACTGAGTGAGTGACTGGGCGAGTGAATGACTGGGTGAGTGAGTGACTGGGTGGGTGAGTGACTGGGTGGGTGAGTGACTGGGTGAGTGAGAGACTGGGTGAGTGAGTGACTGGGTGAGCGAGTGACTGGGTGAGCGAGTGACTGGGTGAGTGACTGGGTGAGTGAGAGACTGGGTGAGTGACTGGGTGAGTGAGAGACTGGGTGAGTGACTGGGTGAGTGAGTGACTGGGTGAGTGAGAGACTGGGTGACTGACTGGGTGAATACGTGACTGGGTGAGTGAGAGACTGGGTGAGTGAGTGACTGGGTGAGTGATTGACTGGGTGAGTAAGAGACTGGGTGGGTGAGTGACTGGGTGAGTGACTGGGTGAGTGACTGGGTGAGTGACTGGATGAGTGACTGGGTGAGTGATTGACTGGGTGAGCGAGAGACTGGGTGGGTGAGTGACTGGGTGAGTGACTGGGTGAGTGACTGGGTGAGTGACTGGGTGAGTGAGAGACTGGGTGGGTGAGTGACTGGGTGAGTGACTGGGTGAGTGACTGGGTGAGCGAGAGACTGGGTGAGCGAGAGACTGGGTGGGTGAGTGACTGGGTGAGTGACTGGGTGAGTGACTGGGTGAGCGAGTGACTGGGTGAGTGGAGTGACTGGGTGAGCGAGAGACTGGCTGAGAGACTGGGTGATGCGTGACTGGGCGAGTGAGTGACTGGGTGACTGGTGAGTGAGTGACTGGGTGGGTGAGTGACTGGTGGGTGAGTGGACTGGCTGAGCGAGAGACTGGCTGAGTGAGAGAACTGGGTGGAGCGAGAGACTGGGTGAGTGAGTGACTGGGTGAGTGACTGGGTGAGTGAGTGACTGAGTGAGTGAGTGACTGGGTGAGTGAGAGACTGGGTGAGAGACTGGGTGAGTGAGTGACTGGGTGAGTGAGAGACTGGGTGAGAGACTGGATGAGTGACTGGGTGAGTGAGTGATTGGGTGAGTGAGTGACTGGGTGAGTGAGAGACTGGGTGAGTGAGTGACTGGGTGAGTGACTGGGTGAGTGAGAGACTGGGTGAGCGAGAGACTGGCTGAGTGAGAGACTGGGTGAGCGGTGACTGGCTGAGTGAGAGACTGGCAGAGTGGATGGATGACTGAGTGGCTGACTGAGTGGCTGACTGAGTGGCTGACTGAGTGGCTGACTGAGTGGCTGACCGAGTGAAGTGTTGGCTCATGAGGTGACTGCCGATGCCACCCTCCGACCAGTCCACCAGGTGCAAAGGCGCCACAGCAGGCGAGGTGGGAGAGCGTGGGAACTCAAACAACTCGCCACTTAGTTACGGAATTACTCGCACACACACACACACAAACGGGGCGATAACGCTCACCTACTCAATCATTCACCCACCCACTCAATCATTCACCCGCTCACCCACACACTCGCCCACTCACTCACTCACTCACCCACACACGGGGCGATAACGCTCACCCACACACGGGGCGATAACGCTCACCCACTCACTCACTCACCCACCCACCCACACAGGGTGATAACGCTCACACACTCACCCACTCGCTCACCCACACACAGTCACAATGGATGGGTGGGTGGGGTTGGTGGGTTACTTTGTGGGTGGATGAGCGAGTTGGTGAGCGGGTGGTTAGGTGAGCGAGTAGGTGGGTGAGCGGATGGGTGAGTGGTTAGGTGAGCGAGTAGGTGGGTAAGTGGCTAGGCGAGTGAGTAGGTGAGCAGACAGGTGGGTGAGCGGATGGGTGAGTGAGTAGGTGAGCGGGTGGGTGAGTAGGTGAGCGGGCAGGTGGGTCAGCGGATGGGTGAGTGAGTGGGTAGGTGAGCAAGTAGGTGAGCGGGGTGGGTAGGTGAGGCGGGTGGGTAGGTGGGCGGGTGGGTTAGCGGGGTGGGTGAGCGAGTAGGTGAGGGGGTGGGTGAGGGGTGGGTAGGTGAGTGAGTGAGCGGGTGGGCGAGCGGGCGGATCGGTGAGCGAGTAGGTGAGCGAGTAGGTGAGCGTGTGGGTAGGTGAGCGTGTGGGTAGGTGAGCGCATGGTAGGTGAGCGAGTAGGTGAGCGGTGTGGGTAGGTGAGCGTGTGGTAGGTGAGCGAGTAGGTGAGCGAGTAGGTGAGCGGGTTGGCGCGTAGGTAGGTGAGCGCGTGGGTAGGTGAGCGCGTGGGTAGGTGAGCGAGTGGATAGGTGAGCGAGTAAGTACGTGAGCGTGTGGGTAGGTGAGCGAGTAGGTGAGTGTGCGGGTAGGTTAGCGCATGGGTAGGTGAGCGAGTAGGTAGGTGAGCGAGTAGGTGAGCGTGTGGGTAGGTGAGCGTGTGGGTAGGTGAGCGAGTAGGTGAGCGAGTAGGTGAGCGGGTTGGCGCGTAGGTAGGTGAGCGCATGGGTAGGTGAGCGAGTGGATAGGTGAGCGAGTAAGTACGTGAGCGTGTGGGTAGGTGAGCGAGTAGGTGAGCGAGTTGGTGAGCGTGTGGGTAGGTGAGCGCATGGGTAGGTGAGCGAGTAGGTGAGTGTGCGGGTAGGTGGCGCATGGGTAGGTGATCGAGTAGGGTATGTGAGCGAGTGGGTAGGTGAGCGAGTGGGTAGGTGAGCGCGTGGGTAGGTGAGCGAGTGGGGTAGGTGAGCGTGCGGGTAGGTTAGCG